CCTTGGCAATCTCAAAGGCTGCCAGGTTCTTAATGGAGCAGCCCAGCTGCTCAAGGATGGCACGGTTACGGCGGGACAGGATCCCACCCATGAAGATGGGGAAGAGCTCAAAGACCTCATCATCAGGAGCCTCATCAGGGTGGCGCATGGGGCCCTCCACGCCCAGGATGCTGGAATTGATCTGGTCCAAGACATCATCATTGTAGTAGTCCTCTTCTTTGAACAGCTCTTCTGCCATGGTGTGGGCAATAGCATCCTGGTCCTTCCCGCTCAGCCGGGAGAAGTAGCGAGGGAAGATCTTGAGCAGGTTGAAGAGCACTGGCAGGAAGCGCAAGGGTAGCACCTTGGAGATGATATTCACAACGACAGCCACATCTTCACTCACCTTCCCAACGACCTCCGACAGCTCCTTCCCCACTCTCTGTGCCAGCGTCTTCTTCTCACCCAGCACCACATACAGGGCTGCCAGGTACTCCTGCATAGCAGGGATGGTGAACACAAAGGTGTGCTCTTTGCCTGACTGCACACATGGACTGAGGAAGAAGCGGAAGACATCACTGCGGAACACCTCCAGGAGGTTAAGCTCACTTTCAGTCTTCATCTCCACCTCAAAGCACCGCTGCAGATCATCCTCTGAGAAACAGGTCTTGCGGGACATCACCCCTTCATAGGCCAGCTTGCCCACCGTCTTGGCCACGTACTTCATCATGGAGATGTTGGTGGGGTCGGTGCTGTCCAGCACCTCCCCACTGAAATTGAGCCTCAGGAAGCTGGTGTAGATACCCGTCAGGGTCTGGCTGGGAGGTACCATCTTGGTGAAGTAGAGGAAGTGCAGGGTGGTGCACACCAGCCAGCAGTAAGAGGGCAAGAAGCAGGCAGCAGTTATTTGGTTGTGGCGCTCCAAGTTCCTCGACAGCATCTCCACTAAGTTCTCCTGCTCACCTGAGCTGGTACCCACACCATCCCGTACACTGCAGCTGGGCTGGCTGAGGCGCATCTGGAAGTACAGCTTCTGCAGGTTGGTGTCAGAGAAGCCACAGATTTCGGCATAGCGGCCCACGTACTTGCCAGGGATTCGGCGCACTGCCGATGGGCGTGTGGTGACGATGATGCTGGCCTGGAAGCAGAGGGCTGGGTGAGTTTGGAGCTGCCCTTTCTCTGGCTTTGATCTAAGCTCAATAGGGTCCCAGGTGCATAAGCCACATATAGGTGTACAAGGATCATACCACACAGGGGCTGGGGTTCAAAGATCTGCTGGCCAAAGAGCATTGGTTCAAATATGGCCCGGGCAGAAGGGACAGAAGAGCTTTCCCTATCCCCTGCTAGACATATATTGAGTCTGGAAGATCATAGCCCAACAGACTGCTTTCTTCACCTTACCAGACCTGCCCTAAGATCCCACAGAGACAAACCAGTAACAGCGACACCACTAACAGTGAGCACCTCCAGGAATGGAGCCTGCCTCTTCACGCACAGCTAAGCTGGACCACAAGCAGTGAGCACAAAAGCTATGCCTGCAGTGCCCCAGGGCTCACCCCCAGCCTTTCTCCAGCAGGAAGGAGCTCAAGAGAGACACTGACCTCTGGCAGGAGGTATTTGCGCAGCAGGTTGACCACAATGGCAGAAGGAGGCACAGGCTCGCTGGGGTCACAGCACAGCTCTGTGCCAGCCAGGCGGAAATCCAAGTTGAGCCTCTCCAGGCCATTGAGGATGAAAAGCACGCTGAGGTTGGAAGTGCCCAAGATCGGCACCACATCCCGGAGGTGCTGATACTTCTTGGTTATGAGGCGCCGCAGGGAAATGGGAGCATGACTATGGGACAGGTCCTCACAGGAGAAGGGGATGAGCAGCTCAAAACGGGGTAGGCGACCATTGCACCAGTCCACCACCATCTTCTTGATGAGGGTGCTCTTCCCTGTGCCCACAGTCCCATACAGCACCACGTTCTTCACCTGCCGCCCGCAGCAATCCACATCAAAAAGGTTCTGGAGGCTGATAACCTGCCTGCAGGACTGCTGGAGCTGGTTCTGGATGGTTAGGCCAGGCGAGGGCTTCAGGATCTCCTCCAGGGAGCTCTCCCGTATCACTGGGTCCACATGGACTGCATCCTCTGAGAAGGAAGGGCCGAACTGCCTCTCTTCATTGGGCTGGTGACTGAACCACGCAGACAGGCTCTTCTGGTGTTTCTTGATGGCATCTGGGAAGAAGAAGGTGCTTGACAAGATGAGAGCTTCTCACTGGCAGGGCACTGGGGAAGTTGCCTGCCCCAAGCCGCTGCAGTGATATGGCTGTAGAAAGGAGGGCAGAACCCAGTTCTTGCTAACCCTCACACTGCACCCAGCCTATCACATAGGACCCTCCATCCCCTTCAGTGCAGGGCTTTGAGCTTACCAGAAGAGGCCACGTTCCTTAGATGGGACAGGCGAGAGGTGCTGGGCCGGACCGAGCGCTCCTGGTTCCCTCCCTGGTAGTGAACACAGCCCCTGCAAGAGGAGCAAGAGTGTCATAAGTAGGACAGGGGCAGCAGGCGCAAGCCCTGCCTGGGGCAGGGTGTGCAGATCACAAGTGAGTAGCACGTGAAGTGCTAAGCAGAGCCAGCTCACCCCTTCCTTCCCCTGCACCAACAGAGGGCACAGATGGGAACTGAAGGCACGCCAGCAAGGGCGCTAAGTGCTATGCATCCCCACCAAACCTGTGGTGAGGCAGAGAAGCTGGGCTGAATTCAGAGCAGGCAGCGAGTAGGGTCTAGGTTGTTTTCTAAGTGGAAGCAAAGCCGCATCTCTGCCCACAGAGGCAGAGATGTCCCAAGGCAACCAGGTCAGCCACCCAGGTGCCATGGCAAAAAGCCACAGGGCAGAACGGGCCATGCCCCAGTTGTGGAGCACTGTACCTGGTGAAGGAGATGCTGCTTGTGCAAAGGATCTTCTTGCAGAAGTAGCTGCCTGCATTACCTGGGGTGGGAAGAAGAATGAACATGGTCAGGGATGGCGTTTTCCAGCCCAGCAGAGCTAACACCACCGAGCTCACTGGCTTCACATCTTGCTTCACTATGGGGTGACCCACAGACTACACAGGTTTCCCCAGGGGCAGGACAGAGTGAGGGTCACAGCCCCACAGGCAGAGCTCAGCTCACCTGGCACTGAAGCAGCACACAGATGATACAGACTTCTGGTCCCCCTGCTCCCTGGCAGGGACCGATGCAGCTGCTGCCAGCTGCCCCAGGGCAGGCAGCTCTGGCATTGCCCGTGACATCCTCTACCTGAAAGAGAAGGGACAGCCCATGGGGCAGGTTGGGCTTACTGAATCCTTGGCAGTGCTGAACCTTCTTGCCTGCGAGGCTGAGGTGGCTGCAGCACACAGGGGTGCTGAGCACAGCCTCTTCCCATTTAAAACAGCCTGGGCACAGGCTGGCTGTGAGGGCTCAGCTGGTTCCTCAGAGCTGCACTAGGTTCATTTCAGCTCAGGGTTTTCCCAGGCAAAGCTCCCACCTCCAGAGGTGGACGAGGGGCTCTGGAGAGCTCAAGCTGCTGTCCCACATGGGACCAGCTCTGTGGCGCAGAACAGGATGGGGTCAGCAGCTCTGCTCCGCAGGGATGCGGCACAGCAGTGCCCTGCCCAGTCTTACCTGCTCTGATGCAGTCCAGTCCGGCCGAGCCGGCTGTGCCGGTGCTGGCTCAGGCTCCCGCCCTAGCTCAGCAGGGAGATCCTTCAGCCCTCAACATCCAAAGGAACTGAAGCAAGGCAGGGAGAGTGTAAGCACCCCCCAGCAGGCTTTTTGCAGTCCCTCATCATGTCATCTAGATGGAGAAACTGAGGCACAGAGTGGGAGCAGCGGAGCTAACCTTGAACCCCCGTGTCCTGCCCTTGAGGACTGCGCAGCCAGCAAACTCTAATGCATCCCATTAGGTCCCTTCCAGCACCCTTTGCTACCCAGGGCATGCGAAGGGCGCCGTGCCGCCCGCCCGCTGCGGTACCCCTAAGGGACCCCTGGTACAAGCAGCATCCCGCCTCCCTGCTTCCGTATCCGGAGGGACGCGGTGGCTGAGGCCCGGGCGGTGCGGGGACTTGGAGCTCAGGGCAGTGGTGAGGCTGGCGCTGCGCAAGGCGAGAGCAATGGTTGTGCCGAAAGCGGCAGGGTTACCTCCAGTGGGACTCCTCGCCAGGGAAGCTGACCCCGCAGCTCCGGGTGCTGCTCAGCCGCGTCCTTCCATCCCGGTCCCGGGAAGAGGCTCTTTGGAGGCGGCTGTTGTTGAGCTGTAACTTCCGCATCCCCAGCCTGTCCCATCCCGTCCTGCGCACAGCAGCCGCCGGCTCTGCCAAGCAGGGTGGGAACGGTAACCATAGTCCTGCTCTGGGGACACGGCGGAGAAGCCAGCAGCGCAACAGCAAGGAAAACCACGTGTACCCCCAGAGACAAGGATGCAGTACGGGGGCAGCAGTGCTGCAAGGGGAGCTTGCTCTGCACACATCTGGTGGCTGTCCATCCCCATCTGTGAAACAGGAGCCGGCAAGGACATGCTCTGCTCCGGGGTGAAACCCGCCTGTGCTCACATAGAGCAAGGTGCAGGGAGCAGGACTACAGCAGCCTCACATGATAAAGAGCCTGGGGGACAGCACTGCCCCGTTTTGCCTGGCTGTGTAACACAAGTGCATGGACACACACAGACATACACACCTACCCTCTCACTGCTTGCAGATGCACTCCAGCAGGGCTGAGACCACCTGCAGGGCTGCACGCACACTGCTTGGTCCCTTGAGTGCTGGCTTGGGAAGTGCTGGCCTGCCCAACCATAGGCAGTGCTGAACCAGGGGCACTGGGGCCACGGATAATCCCAGAGGTCCCAATAGACCACATGGACAGAGATGCCCCTGTGCACACTCTGTGCCTGTCCCCATCAATGTGTGCTATCCCCCTTTCCACACCCAGCTGCAGGGACACCCCTCATCTCCCCTCGCATGCATGTCCTCTGGCTGCTCAGGGAGGGGAGGCACCCAGGCAGTACACTATAAATATAAGTTTTATTGATGTGTGAAATCCAACACGTACAGCTGGCATCTCAGGAACACTGAAATAAGCCGCAACATCGCCTGCTCAACAGCTCCTGGGGAGCCCTGGACACTGGTGAGTACCAGCAGCAAGCTGGGACCTGCAGGGCACTTACCTGCACCTATGGCACAGCCCAGAGAGCTGGCAGGGCCCTGCCAGCAGCCCCATGCTTCCCATAGAGCCCAAGAGCTCACCTCCATCCTGCCTGGTTCCTGCCAGGCTGCAGCTCTAGGCAGCAGTGCTCTGGTCCTGCTTCGCAGCCTCCTCCCAGCAAGGCAGAAGAACCCAAACAGATGCCTCATGGGACTGCCACAGCAGAGCTACAGCTGCTAGAGCAGGATCCCTCCACCTGTGATGTGTTATTTGTATCATGTTTTGGCAAACAGCGCCAGGAAAAAAGCAGCTCACTCACTCCCGGTCGTGTGGAAACCTGGATTTCAACACCTCTGCATGGTCCACGCCTGTTCTGTATCACGCGTACACCCCACAGTACAACCTCCTCTGCACACAAAGGCTGGAAAACCTCAGGGTCCAGTGTGGCAGGAATGCACTTGGAGATCTCAGGCAGCCACAGGCTGCTGGTGGCAGCAGGGACAAGACAAGTGGTGTGTCCACACGCAGGGGGAAGGAAACTCTGGTTTATTGCCTGATTTGAGAGGGGTGAATGCCTGGGAGAAGCCCCATCCCCTCCTTGTTCTATCCCAATCTCCCCTCCAGCAAACCTTAGTATCAGCCAGGTGATGATGCATTTGCTCTTCTTGTGCGTGTGACAAAGGTGGCCTGGACATGCATGGTGGTGAAAGGCCATAGCCCTGCTTGCCTGCCTGCATTCACAGCACACATGAGGGAGAGGCAGTACCTGATAGAACCGTGCCTGTGGGCTGAAGGAGCCAGGCTAAGGGGCTGAAGCAGTTTTGGATGGGTTAAGGTTCAACCGGTGCTCCCAGGGGACACCTGAACCATGTCTTCATCTATTCAAAGTGCATTGCAAGGGAAAGCAAGGGGCAGGGAGGAAGAGGAGGTGTTGGGGAAGAAACCTGCTCTCCTCCATCACACTCCTCATGATTATCCAGACGCGTTCCCTGGTGGGATTCCCGTAGCCAGACGCACCCACAGCCCTGCTCCCATAAAGTGCATCCTCGCTGCTGTGTGCCGGGCCCAGCACATGGGTGCTCCCCACCCTGGCAGGTGGCAGACCCAGTCTGGGCACCCCTGGCTCCACACCACAAAATGACCAGTGTTATTGCCAAGGGGTCCCTTTGCATTTCTGTGTGCCTTTCATCATCTGTGGGATTGCCCTCACTGAGAGGGAAGGGGCAATGGATGGCCCCGTTCAGGACACCTTTGCTTAGTTCACTCCTCCTGCACCATCTGCCCTTGGGCACCACCAAGACTGCCTTTGCCTGGGGCAGGATCTGCCAGACCCAGTCCCTCTCTGCCACTGCGTGCCCAGATCCCTCACTCATTACAGCCCCTTGGTACCAACACATTCACTTGCCAGGCCTGCTGGGAGTGCCGGTGCCCTTCTCTAATGCGCCTCGGGCTTCCTGCTGCCATGCCCCTGGGGATGAGCACCCTTGCTCGGCTTGGGAACACATCCATTCCCCATCTCCAGGCTTGCCCTGGTCCTCTGTCCTGCAGTGGCCCCATACCCAGTCAGCAACCCGTGCACTCACCAGCACAGGAGGCCCGGGCTGTGCTGAGCTGTCCTGGAGATCCTGGTGGTGCTGCCAACTGCCCCATCCTGGGCAGGTTGGTCTGAGCAGCCACCTGCGGAGGTACCAGCCCCGGCAGTCTTCCTCTGGCCATGCCAAGCTTGGGCAGCCTGTCCCATAGGGCTTCTCTGCAAGCAGAGCAGGCTGGCCAGCAGAGGCTTCTGCTGCAGCATTCCCATGCCTTGGGGGACACGGGCAGTGGCAATCACAGGTGCCTTCTGGTAGCCCCCTGTGTTCCACACATGGGCCATCACCAGTCCATCTCATCCTGATCCTTATGGGAGTGGTGGTGGCGCTGGCTGTGCTGGCACAGGGGTGTCCCAGCAGGACTCAGTGCTGGGAATGGCAATGCCTCCAGTGTGCAGGAAGCTGTGCAAAACAACATCAGTGGCACCTCCTACCACCTTGGTATCCACCAGGGAAAACCCTCAGCCCAGCAGTGCACACTGCACAGGACAAGGCTGAACTCAACACAGCCCACGAGCAGGACAGAAGTGAGGCTTCAGTCCCGTCAGCCCCAAGGACAGTGAGATGGAGAAGGGTGACAGCCCACAGCTCCCCCTGGCTACCTGACCATCCATCCACCTCATGATAGAGCACACTGAGACCATTCCCCACTCGACCCTTGTGGCTGCAGCTGGCAGGATCATGCCAAGGAGACTTGCACCTCCCAAGCTGGCATGACTCCATTGCAGGGCATGGCACAGAGCTGGCGGTGAAGGAGGATCCAAGAGTGGAGGGGAATTCTGTGAGGGACAGCAGAAAGTCAGACAAAAGCCCCTGGGGGAAACCCCAATGCTCAGCATGAAAAAGACATCAGGGCATGTCCTGCTTCTGAGCCCTTTGTGCAGGAGAGCCCCATGGATACAAGCTCCTTGCAGCAATACTGTCCAGGCAGGGGAAACACGACCTTGCCAAGTGCCCAGCATCATCTGCTATGTGTCTGCCATCCACCTGCAGGCCAGCCAGACCCTGCTGTGTGGAGCAGTCCCAACATGAGACAGTTAAAGCAAAGCACAGTCTCAACGATTTTGCTGAAATCTGGCATTTGCCCTGCAATTCCCTGCTGCTCTGAGAGTGCCAGCAGCATCACCTCAGAGACTACACTGGAATCAGGGCCCAGCATGCCAGGATGGGGCAGAGCTGCTTTCCCCACGTCCATGCTCACAGTGCGATCCCATGTGCATGAGTGACCAGTGCAGCCTTGTGACACCAGTGCCAGCGACACTAGTAGCAGAACACCCACAGGGACAGGTCAGTGCTATGCAGCTAAGCAGTGTGCTGTGTTCCTGGCACAGCAGCATGTGCTGATGCCCCACCAGCTCTGGTCTCAGCTCGGTTCCTTTGGTGAGCCAGCGAGGTGCCAAAATGCCTCCCATCCTCAAGCAGTGTGGAGAAGCAGGTGACTTTGGAGGAGCCACTTGCCAAAAGGTACCTTTTCTTGACACAGTCACAAAGTGCAAAGCCCTTCTCAGTGTTAGGGCTGCCCAATGCAAAATACTGCTGGGAGATCTCACCTGCTTTCCAGTTCTGGCACTGTGGGACCCCCTCCTGCACAGTGTTACCATGGGAGCTTTGCACTGTGATGAGGCTGGGTGTCCCTGGGGATGGATGGCATCCCCTCCTTGCACAGCCGGCGTTGCTCATCCTCCTTGGTCTGCTGAGACAGCCACAGTTGTGCCGTGGGGAGAGGTGAGGAATGAGATGGTGCAAGGGAAGGGTTCAGGACCAGCTCTTCTCCTTCATCAGTAGAGGCTCCGGTGATGGCATGGCTGAGCCCAGCCCTGCTTTTCAGCCACCTTGCACTAGCAGGGCATGGGAGTCTAAATCTTCCCTGCTTCATGCAAGCGCTTGGAGGGACCAGTCACTTCTCTCCACGTTCTTTGATTCTATCCTTTTGACTGAGACCCCGAAGACAACAGGGAATGAACAAGAGACACCCAAAGGTATGAGAATACTGTTCCATTCCCAGACCCTGCCATATCCCCAGGTTTGAAGATCCTATCTCTGAGGATAGCATCCGAGCAGAAGTCTGAGAAGAGCCCCAGGTCCTTCCTTTGCCTGCTGGATCCCTTTCCCTTCCATGCAGAATGGGAAGCAGTTGGTTCATAAAAAAAAAAATAAATAAAAAGAAAGAAAACAAAAAAGAAAAAACCCAAAATATAACAAACAAACAAAACCCAGGGAGGATTTATACAGAAAGAAAAAGAGGATGCAGTAATTTCTGTGGCTGTGGTGACAGGAAGCACTCAAGCCTTGTGCAATTTGACCTATTGCATCTTTGGGCTCTTCTTAGCATTGACACACATGCTGCTGCCTAGGGCAAGCAACAGGACTGTGGGCTGCACTGTGGATCCATGCCGTGGGTGTCTCCTCCTGCCTTCAGCCCCAGGGCATCACTCTCCTCTTGACCTTGCTTAGCAGACAGCCGCCTCCATGGGACCCTCCCCAGAGTCCCAGTGTGTTGGGTGGAGAAGGGCAGTGCCGGGCAGGGGTGACAAGGGGGACCCAAGCTCCGTGGGGTTGGGCAGTCCTGGGGGACAGAGTGGCATGTGCCAGGGCTGTACAAAACGTTTGCAATGAAGAGTGCATGGAAAGGTTAAAACAGTTCCGAGATGTCTCAAAACCCTTCTCGACTGAGCCAGGCCTGGCTGGCACCTACCAATGCCTCCGCTGTGGTCCGTGACCTGCTAGGAGTGCTGTGTCCATCTGCAGAATGTCTCTTAGAGCAGGCCAGGCCTGGGAACGGCACTGGGGCCCCGTGGCCCCTTTATCTCTCTGATTTGACTTTGTACCTGAGGACCAGGTAAGCCAGGAGCCGCAGGATGATGAAGAAGATGCCCAGGATGAGGAAGTCCAGGTAGAGCTTGGCCTCTTCCACATCCAGCTCCTGCAGGATCTTGATGGGTTTTTGGAAAGGACAGAAGTCCTCAAGGCATTCCAGGTCCTCACGCTCCATGGCATAGATGGTGAGAATGACGCCCTCAAAGCCGTACCTAAGGCAGAGCACACCACAAGCATCACTGCGTGTCCCAGGCAGCCCCAGTCTCTCCCCCAGCCTATGGGAGCCCAGAGCATGGAGTCCCACCTGACATAGGAGACATAGGAGCTCCACTGCAGGTAGGTGGGGATGGTCTTGAAGCTGACAAAGAAGCCAGAGAAGAGCAGGACAGGGATGGCAGTGACGGGTCCCACAAAGGTAGCCACCTGATGAGCAGAGACCATAAGTGTCATGTCCCTGTCCATAGGCATGCCTATGGGTAACACTTCTCTCCATCCCTCCTTGTCATAGAACCCCTGCAACTTCCCTCCCATCTCCATGCAATAGGTAAAGCCAGGGCCTCATCTGACCTGCAGAGAAGTAGAAGCAGCTCCGATGAGAAGCCCAAGGGACTGGGCCACCAGGGCTGTGGCGGTGGCCAGGGCAGAGAAGAGAAGGAAGCGTGTGGCTTCAGGTGGCTGGCCCGTCATCCAGTACACGATGCTGCAGTATGCAATGGGGCAGATGATCTGGAGAGGGGCAAGCAAAGAGAGCACTGTGATGGACCCATGGACATCTTCACCCCACAGACCCTTTCTAGGGGATGGAAGGATGCAGGGACCCCTCAAAGGCAAGGCCAGGGAATTGTGTACCTGGGCAATTGGCTGTGCCAAGGCAGGCACGTCAGCATTGGGACCACACTTTAGCCCAGCTGAAAGCTCACCTGGAAGGGCACATCTGCCATGGTCTTTGCCAGGTAATAGGCTTTCAGGCTGTACCAGTAGTTCAAGTGCTCTCTCAGGAATACAGTCATCTCCTGGGGGACTGCATGGAAAGAGTTAGCAATCAGCAATGTCCTGGCCTGGGCTGCTCCAGCCCCTGCTCCCACTTGCCCTGGTGCAGGCAGATGTGATGCTGTTCCAGCACAGAGCACCAGGCAGCCTCCTGCCTGCACCACTAGTGTGTGATCAAATCTTCACCAGGGAACAAAGTCAGTGACCAATATGGGAACTTTCTGCCCATAAAAGTCAGCTTAGATGGGGCTTTTAGGCAAACCTTTTGAGGAAGTGGAAGAGGGGTGAAGCAGCTGAAAAATGCAGCTCTACAGACATTTTCTCAGAAGAAAAACCCAAAGCATTAAAAATTCCAGCATTCTGCTTTGAGCCAGCAAGTACCTTATAGCCAAGCATTAAATAAAAGAGCAAAACTGCAATATACCCAATCAGTAGTTGAATGTTTTTCCTCTTGTCTCTTATTTCCCCCCTTTTCCCCAGTTCATCTGGCTCCACCACACACCACCCTGCAGACGCACTGCTGGAGCAGCCCCTCTGACACTGGGCTGGGAGTAGGGAATAGGTGTCGGGGAAGGAATTCCTTACAGGTGAGGATGGTGGGCATCAGTGCGGCAAACATGAGGAAGAGCATGGAGAAGAAGAGGAAGCCGGTGTTGTTGAAGACTTTCCCCGCATCGTTGCCGATGTGCAGGTAGAGCAGCCCAATGAGCACCCCGATGCAGATGTGGGACATGAACCGCAGGTGGGTCAGCACCTGCAGGCACAGAAGGAACAGGGGCTCAATGCAGCAGTGCTGCATCCCATGAGCATCCCAGCAGATGCCTGTTCCTCAAGGTTGAGCCCCACTCTAGCCCCCATTCAACTCCTGTTTCTGCCTGTCCACAGCAACTGAGAGGCCCCATCCCCTCAGCTCTGGCCCAGCCTCCTCTGTCCTCACCGTGTCCCTTAGGATGCAGATAAAGGTTCTCTTGAAGAGGATGCAGAACTGAGTTGAAGTGCTGGTGGCAAACGTGTGGCTCTCAATGTGGTCCACATCCTGCAAGACAACAGTCAAGTCAGGGACATGGGTCAGGCTCACAACGTGTGCTCCCTGTGAGAGAAGAGGTACAGCAGCAAGCACACTGCTGTGGCTCAAGCCAAATGGAAGCTGATTGAACATCTCTGCACTGTGGGCAGAGACTCAGTGTCCCTGGGTGGGCACCCTGTTACCTGCTGCTCCCTATAACCAGAGGAGGGTCCTCTCATCCCCACTCACCGCCACACAGTGCGCTGGGCATGACGGATCTGATCTGTCGGGGCTGCTCTTCTTCTCAGCCATGGTGCACATGCCATTCTGGACAGCTCGGAACAGGACAGGGTTGAGGTCCCCATATTCTCCTGAGGCCACCTCAATAACTGTGGAGGGGGACAGGATCCATAAGAGGTGCTGAGCCAGCCTTGCTATCACTATTCCCATGGGACAGGGTTTGGGGGTCCAGCACAAACCCCATCCTGGGATGCTGCACCATAGAGTGGCACTACCCAGCCAGTGCATAAAGGGAAGGGTGCAGGCAGCCCTGCTCCTTGGGGCTTGGGCACTGGATTTGGACCTTGCCACCCTCTTCTCCCTGCCACAGCCCTAGTTATGGTAGGGGCACTCACTGAAGTCAGCAGGGTTGTGGTATGTGGGGCAGTGAAGGCCAAGACCCTTCAGGTAGGGGATGAGGTTGGTCACGATGCCTTTAAAGATGCACTGGCCCTGGCTCAGGATGTAGAGCTGGAAGAAAAAGCCAGGATATGGGAAGTGCAGAGCAAACAGGGGCACTGTCACCAGCTCCTACCCACCTCCCTCCCCTAGGAGACACAGGGCAACCTTGCCAGACCTCGGCCAGCAAGGCTGTGTGCCACACAAGTCCCAGATCAAACGCCTGCAGCCCATCCCTCCCATGGCCTCTCTGCTGGGTCTGGAGCCAGAAGGACCCCGCATCCCTGAAGAATCCTGTGTCCAAGCCCAGCCCAAACCTTGTCGAACATCTCAAAGAGCTTGGCGCTGGGCTGGTGGATGGTGCAGATGATGGTGCGCCCACCCTGAGCCAGGGACCGCATCAGGGAAACCACCTGGAAGCAGGAGGCACTGTCCAGACCGCTGTGGCCACGCAGGATAGGGTGGAGGAGAAAGAGATAGCAGAGAGAGAGGAGAGGAGATTTGAGAGAAGGAGAAGTACATCCTGAAGATGCCCTTGCTTGTGGGCATCCTCTTTTCAGATTGATAGAAAGAGCATCCCTTTGTAGCCATAGCTCTGCCATGCCTGAGCCCTCTTGGGGCTCAGGTGGGCACAGTCACATCCCACCCTCAGGTCTTGCAGCCCTTCTGTGCTCGGAGTGTGCCCCCCCTCCCAGGCCCCCCAGCAGGAGAAGCCCAGCTTGGGCAGGCAGTGCTGGGCAGCCCCTCACCTCGTGGGCTCATCGAAGAACATGACGGGAGGGTTGTTCACCAGCTCCAGGGCGATGGCCAGGCGCTTGCGCTGCCCCCCCGACAGCGAGCTGGTGCGGGTGTAGGAGCACTCCAGCAGCCCCAGAGCCGTCAGGATCTCATTCACCTGTGAGACAGCCTCATTGACCACAGGCTCCCATGGGCCCTCACCCCATCCCTGCCACCTCCCTTGTTGGGAGCCATTCAGCATCCCCTGGTCTCCTCAGAGTCCTTCCTCTCCATGTTGGGGAGAGATGAAGGGTCCTGGACACACATTCCTCTGCACTTACCAGCTCCTTCTTCACCTCCTGCTTCTCACTCAGCTTCAGGTTAGCAGAGACCTGTGGGGAGAGGATGGGCAGGGGGACACGACTGTCACATGTAGGAAATGGAACCGACTGCACCATGGCCCAAGGGCTGGGAGCGGTGGCTTGGGATGAAGGGAGCAACAACAGCAGGATTTTTCCCCCATGTCCCAGAGCCCTTGGAAATGCCTGATGTCAGCATGGGCTCAGTGCCTGAGGACACAAGATGCCCACAGAGCCCAGCAGGCTGCCTGGCTCCTGCATCACTCACCATCATAGCCTCCAGAACAGTGAGGTGTGGCAGGAGCATGTCATCCTGCATGATGTAGCAGGACATCTTGCGGAAGGTGCGCAGGTCCCGGGGCCGGCCATTCACCAGGATCTGGCCCTTCATCCCCGTCTCCCTGCAGGAAAGAGGAGTCGGGGCAATGCAGCACAGGGCCCCCAGCCCTGCACTCCCAGACCCATGGGCTTCCCCCAGCCTCACCTGTACCCAGCTAGGATGTTCATGAGCGTGGACTTCCCAGCACCCGAGGGGCCCATGATCCCGATGAGCTCCCGCTGGCAGAACTTCCCTGACAGGCATTTGAGCAGTGTCTTGTACCCTGCAGGGAGAGAGCAGCATGGGTCTGGCTTTCCAAACTGTGTCCATCGCCATCCCCAGGGCTACAGCCACAGCGGCTGTCATGTCCAGCATGATCCCTGACCCTGGGTCCTTGGCTGACCCCACTGATTTCCAGCACCAAAGGGGCACATGCCCTGGATCCCAGCAAAGGCAAGGGAAATCCCTGGGTCAGGGTACATAGATGCTGAGGAAGATTACCAGGGTATGACATTGATCCTGGGCATGTTTCCAGATCCTTGTCCATAGGGATAGCAAAGATGGGCAATGAGAAACAGGGTAGCATGGGGCAGGCAGTGTCCCCAAGCCTGCTGGATGCCTGGCTGTCGCCTTCATTGGCATTCATGCTGAGGCTCCCAGCAGCAGCCACTGCTAATCAGACCTGGAATTATCTCTGCTTTAAATGCAGCCGATTAGCATTTTCTGGCAGAAGGAACATGATGTGTTGGGAGCAGGGAACAGGCACAGCCTCAGGCTCTCAGGAGCTCTCCCTAAAACACAGCCCTGGCAGGAGAGCAATGGTATTGCAGGGTGTTAGGACCATGCTGAACCATGGACCCGGTCTGAGCATCTACCTGCTCAAAATACACCCCTCCTGCATCCGGTAGTGGCAGCTGGTGTCAGGAGAGGGCAACACATCCATCCCCAGCCCACCGGCTGGGGTGAGCCCATACAGGTACAGGTCAGTCCTAGCACCACACTAGGGGGGGTAGCCCTTCTGACTTGTCCATCCCCAGGACAGGGGGTCCAGCGCCACAAGCTCCTACACCCCTCGGAGCCAGAGGTGAAGAGAGGAGGGCAGGGGGCTCTACATGACCACAGCAGAGCAAGCATGGCCGGCAGCACCCCCCCCCCCCCCCGCCTCCCCATCGCATCCCGGCACCACGCACACAGCTCCGGCACCGCGCATGCTGCTCACGTCGGCGCCACTGCAGCTTGCGCAGCGGTTACTTGCGTTCATTGACTGCCAGTAACCTCCTGCTTCAGCACAGCGAGAGCCTGGATGGATCCTGGGGGCTGTGGACAAAGGCACCGGGAGCTCCCCCCCCGCCAGCTCCTCCACCTGGGCTCGGGGGAGAATCCCTCCCATCGCCATCCCCAGATCCCAGCACCCATTGGGATGCTCCTCTCTGGTCCAGCTGCCTGAGCCTTTCCCCCTCTGTTCCTCCAGGGCACTGGCTCGCTGGCAAGCAGTGGGTCCAAGGACTCCGGGGTGCTACAGCACACTCTGCCCTAGGGAACCCAAGTTATGCCATCGCTCCCCTTGGGATGTTTCCTCAGCATCCCAAATGGGCAGATCTCATCCTGAGGATATTCAGAATGCCCCCACTGTCTTTCAGTGCCTCGGTTTCCCCTGCTGCAGAGCCTAGGGAACAGGACAGGGGATGAAGCCTCAATCCAGTGCTCCTGGCTGGCAAAGCACCCTGCTAAGCAGCCCTGTGCCCTCGGTCTGCTCATCCAAGACCCCGGCTCATCCCTGCCTGCCTTCGGCTTCTGCACATCAGCTCCCCCTCCATCTCATGGGGCTGCCTGATTGGCATCCCATTAACTGAGAAAGCTAATTAAAGCAGACTACCACCCACCAGCCACCATCTGCCTCCCCTCTCCCCTCCCTGAGCTCTCGGCCAGAGATGTACACAGGAAAGAGGACCACAGGGAGGAAATCCCCTGCAAACCACACAGATTCTCCTTGCCAAGCTCTAAGCTGTGGCACCCTTTGGGGTCTCCTGCTATTGGCACATCACACAAGCCATCATATCCCAAACAACAGCCCTGGGGAAACTCATCCATCCTGGCTGCCCCTGAGCCCGGAAATCTGCCCCATCTCCCCCATGCAGCCCTGGGCAGAGGATTCCCTGGCGAGAGACCTCTTTGAGATGCAACCTGCTTTCCCTGGGCATTGCACAGCAGAGGGGCACAGCAACTGCTGTGGGACATGAGCCTGCCCTCCACCCATGGGTGCCCAGCAAGGACAGCCAGCCACAGGGCCATGACTAGCACTCAGACAGACCCCAGGGCCGGACACCCAGCCAGGGGTGCGGTAACCCTGCAGGTCCCCTCTGCTGCCCTTCCCCAGCCGGCAGCTCCTACCTCTCTTCCTCCACCAGGAGCCTTCCCGCACAGAGTAGGACAGGTCAATGAATTCGATGTTGACGGCTGAGCGCTTCGGGAGGTGAGAAAACCTCTGGGCCTCTGTGATGTGGTTCTCAACCTTCTTCAAGTGGGTGGTGAGGAGCGGGGCATCGGCAGGGCTGGCGTGGCACACCGTGTCCTCCAGGGCAATGGAGACACAGGCAGGATCCATACCCTTCTCTGCCATCCTGCTGTTGGAGATGCACAGGGACTGACTCACTGTGAGTCCCTAAGCCAGCCTACGAGTCCTTCCACATCCTTTCCTGCTGGCCCCCTCTGCCCTGTGATACACTGCCCAGCTCTAACGTGGCTCCCACAGCTAGATAGAAGGATGGACGTGGCCAGAGAGCTGAGCTGGTGCCTAGGGTTTTACAGCGAGGTGATCAGTCAATAATACATGCACCTCCTGTGGCTGGTCCAGCTCTGGCAGCAGAGCTAGCAGGCTGTTCAGCCCTACTGCTGCTGGGCTAGCTGCCCCATTCCTCTCCACCATGGTGGACACAGGATAGGAGGTGGTATAACTGGTGTTCTGCCCTCAACAGGAGATGCTCAGTGATGCCTTGTAGTCCCTAAGGGCTCCCCAAGAGCTGCCTGTGCCTGACCCGTCCAGGACTCAGGGGACATGGGTATGGAGTCCCAAGCAAGCAGGCTTTTCCAGCCAGCTTCTCAGAAAAAGCACGGCATGCTTCACCCAGGTTCCTGAGGCAGAGCAAACCTGCCTTGATTAGACACTCAGCTGGTGTCCAGGATCCCCATGGGCTCCCTTGGACAGCTTTACTGTCTTTCTCTGCTTCCCTTGGCTCATTTCACCTTCCTGGCCCTTACCAACACAGCCTCAGAGACCAGGCCAGTACTTAATTGGGTCCATTGCATGATGCTAATACATGCACCTGCCCAAACATTCTCTCGCTGGGCAGTGTTATCTGCCTGCAGTCCTCCCCACAGCCGCCTGCAGCACAGCCAAGCTCCTCTCATCTCTGCTTGGCTTGCACATTCCGCCGTGCTGGGGGGGATGTTAAGCCAAGCAGAGTGTGGAACCCTCTAACCCCAGGTCCCACTGCAGCACCAAAGACTGAGGGGAGGCTGGGGATGCCCACAGCACTGGGAAAAGGAGCCTGAGCAGGCTGGGCCCGGCGCCCATGTCGCCTCCAAGGCTGGGGTCCTATCGCTTCGCTAACCTACATTGTGCTGAGAGCAGGCTGCAGGCAGCTCCCCGCTATAGCTGCAATGCACACACACAATTCCCTGGAAGGAGCTGCGCCGAGATCTTCCCAACCCTCTCCCCGCTGCAGATAGATCCCTTTCAGGACTGCAAGGAAGCCCGCCCCAGCCCCGGGGAACAAGAGCGAGGATCCCAGCGCTCAGCACCCGCTCGGCACCGCGGTGTCACGCAGCCCCAGGGTGCGGGCCAGCGGCAGCGAGGGGCTCGGAGCGGGAGAACGGCCCCGCAGGCACAAAGCGCCCTCGGGCTCACCTTGACTCCTTCGGCCGGGCGCACAAGGAGCGCTAAATCCCGCAAGCCGCTCTCGGCGGCTTAGCCCATCCCCAGCACAGGATGCTCTGCCTTGCCCCCGGCTCCCCGGGCAGCGGGCGGGTGTCTCCGCAGGCTCACCTGCAGGCTGCGGGCGCGGGGCTCCTCTCAGCGGGGTCCGGCCGTGCCTCCCTCCGCCGCAGCGCCCTCCGCCTCTCACTTCTCCGCAGACAAAGGGGCGATGCCCGCGGCGGGGGCTGGGAGCGGCTCGGCGGCGGCTCCGCCGGTGCTCAGCGCCGGCAGCCGGGATGAGCGCTGTCCCCGCGGGTCTCCAGCCGGGGTCCCCTCCCCATCCCTCCGCAGGGCTGGGCTGGGCGGCGGCCGGGCGGGCAGGAAGGGATGGATGGAGGGAAGGAAGGAAGGGGTCCCTCCGACCCCCGCCCAGCAGTCGCTATCAGCACACCCGAGCGCGGCTGCTCGGCGATGCCCCTCTCCTCCAGCTTTGTCGCTGCCGCTGCCTGTCGGGGTGGCAGGATGGGCTGCCCAGGCAGGCAGCACTGCCAGGCAGCGAAAATCCTCTTAAAGGGACCGGCCCTATTTCCTCTCCCTGCAAGGTACCAGGCCCTGAGCATCCCTAGCGCACAAGCCTGGGGTTCACCAGCCCTGTCTCCGCATGCTCCCACCACCTCTTCCCGCTGCCTGCTCCTCTTCACATACGGGACAGAGCCCACCGCAGCTCCCTTCATTGCTCAAGGCTCTGTGAGATAAACACCTCCTAAATCCAGTCCTGCCCGGGACACTTCTGACACCACTTAGCCACTGTAGATCCACCCCACGAGGGGCACAAGCTGGGTGAAACCAGGGCTGCAGCACAGAGAGCTGCCTGGGAAGCTCACATCAGGCATCAAGAGCCAGGGCTGGTAGTGATATAGCTGGCCAAACAGGGCCTTGATAGAGGAATGCCCCTGCTTAGGGCTTTACCCCCATCACACACTCCCTTCTGCATCTCTTCAAGCAGGACCTGCCATCCCCGCCCTCGGCAGCACCACGCCTGGCTCTGCACTCGCTGTTACTCACACCTCTCCCCCACCACAGCACTTAAACACGAGAGACATATGGAAATGAGCTGTACTAACAAGAGCATTAATTAAAAACCATCTGTTGAGCCAAGGAAAGCTTCCCTCCTCCCACGGCCAGCCTTGGACTGGGACAGAGTTTAGGGCAGAGATCTGGCTCCTCAGCAGAGAAGATTCAGCCAGTGGGGCAGGACAGCCCACAGGCTGGGATTAGGGAGGGCACAAGGAGGTAGTGATGGAGCCAAGCTCCGTACAGAGGTCTTAAGTCATCTCACAGAGCAAAAGGCACGCTGGACCTATCCAGTTTGGTCTGTGTTCAGCACCCTGACTTCCATCCCCAGGGCACTCACCGTTAGCAGGTCCCTCTATGCACAGTACCATAACAGTCCTGTGTCCCTGCAGGTGGGCACCGGCAGGGGCTGGAAGTGAACCCCTCGATGTCAAAGCCCCTTCCTTCTCAACTGCTCAAGCCTGGTTTGGAAGCTACTGAGACCTAGCTGGTGGCCATGCAGCAGCCAGCAGCTGCTGCAGCATCCTTTTGTGAAGTTGTTTCAAAAGGGAAGGCCAGCAGGGATGGGAGTCCAGTGCCCATAGGACCTTCCTACAGTGACCTTAAGCACAGTGGTGTGCCCATGGTTGCTCACATGTTCAGAACAGTATCAGTGGCAGGGGGAGCCTGTCCTGGCTCTGTCCTGTATGTCCAGGGCTCCAGTGACAGAGGAGGCAGGAGAATCTCTTTGCATGATGGGAAAATCTGTGTAATTTCCTGTAAACACATTTAATTACCCATGGCAGTGGTGCTGGTCCTCAAGATCCCCTGGCAATCCCATCACCGGTGTTCCAGACCACGTTTTCCTTCCCTGGGGGAATAAAGTACCTGACTTTTCCATTGCTGCTTTGGAGGGAGCCAGGGCAGCTCTCAGGGAGCACAAGGCTGGAGCATGAATGCAAGCCACTGAGCATGGCCACAGTGAGAAGGGGATGACCAGTGAAGGGGAGAACAAAGAGTTCAGGGAAGGAAGCCTGTTCAGAAACCCACTCCTGAGAAGAGAGGTGGCAGAGCACAGGGTTACAGCAGTGCCTGTGATGGCTGCTCCTGCCAAAGGCCACATTAACAGCAGCAGTGCACAGGCTAACAGACCCCATGGTAGGCAGTGAAAGCCCACAGCGCATCTCCATTCTCAGGTGCTTGTAAAGGAGACACTGGAGACCCATGCACCAGGTCTTTTCCTCCAGCTGTGGGACCAAAGAGAGTCCTGCTGTGCTCAGGACAGCCCCTTATACCTCCTTACCCATTTTACTTGCAGGACATCAGCTTCCATGTGGCCCCAAACTGCTAAAAGTCCCTGGGGAAAGGGGCTCTCAGGGCAAGAGTGTAGACACTTTGAAGAAGCATGGCTTGAAGCCAGCTTGTGGAGCACATGGCCATGGGAAAGACTTTGTACCTGAGAGCTCACACAATTAGCTGTTCTGGTCCCAGCACTCCTAGGGCAGTTTGTCCCACTATAACACCTGATTCTTCAGCAATGGGTGGTGCAGCATTGGGCAGACTGCTCTGGCCTGAGAGCTCTGCCCATGGCATGGAGATAGTGAGCAGGCACATGTGCTCTCTCCCTCCCAAAGGGGACATGAACCTTCTCTAGGAAATAGTCAGGCAAATGGGAGCCAAGACAGCACCATTCCCAAGCCCAGCTGCAGGAAACGCATGCAGCTTCTCAGTGTCTGCTGCTCATAGAGCATCCCCTGCCAATGGAGAGTCATGGGACGGGGCCAGGCAGGAAGGCAGCCCTACAAGGCAGTGAGTCCAGAACATCTCCTCTCCTCTTAGATGACAGCCTTGGAATGGATGGAGCTTAGGGAAGGAGAACAGCAACGGAGACATTGATGAAGGGAAGCAGATATCCAGGGTTGAAGCCTCCCTCGGCGTGGGGCCAGCCCTGGGTGGCCCAACTCTATCCAGAGGAAGCTGTAAGGAGAGCAGAGGCAGCAGATTTTGAGCTGTTTGGCACCCCCAAGCTCTCACTGTCACCCCCTCCCACAAAACAATGAGACAGACCCTTACCAAAGGTGAGCAGCGGCTGTCAGGACTCACCACACGGGACATAGCAGTCACACTCGCAGACATCGCAGCGCAGGAACCAGCGGGCCCAGCCCGAGTGCTTTGTGACACAGCCCGAGATCTTGATGCAGCCGCGTTTGAGGAAGGCTCCCAGGTGGGCCTGGGTGCTGCAAGATGAAGAGCATCTCCCAGTGATGTCCCTCTCACTGATCTCAATGCGACCTCGCAGGCAGATCCCTGCAAGAGCAGAGCCAGAGCCCATGATAGGCTGCCCATCAGCCCTACAGCTGGGAGGAAAGAGACTGGAGACCTGCCTGCAGCCCTCACCCAGCAGTACTCACGGAGGCAGGTGGGCTTGGGAGTCCAGTGGCCATCGGACTGGCAGGCACTGGCTGGGTCCCCCAGCAGCAGGAACCCAGGTCTGCAGCTGTACCGCACCACGGAGCCGACCCACCAGTCATTGCCGTACACCACCGAGTGGAAATCCGCTTCGGGTCGCCCGCAGTTCACTGGGGACAGGGAGGTTGCTGAGGGCAGTGCAGGGCTAGCACCCTGTGCAGCCCAAGAGCATGCACCCACATAAGGCTGCGGGTGCTGTGCAGGATCTGCAGGTCCCCCAGGGCTGCTGGAGAGACTCCACACGTGCATGGAACAAAACCTGCCCTCCCCAAGCTGGCTGTGCCAAGCTCTGCAGCCATCCCCAAGGCCCCCCGGTGTCCCTGCTCCGGCTGTACCTCTGCAGAAGGACTTGTATCCCAGCCAGCAGCAGCTGCCATTCCCACACTGGCTCCTCTTCAGCTCCTTGTGCTTTCCCTTGCAGCCTCCCAAACAGATGGGTGCTGTGCCAGACCAGTAAGTGTCCAGGTGTCCTGGTGCCATAGGGAGCAAGGCAGAGCAGGGTTGAGGCCAGGGACCACCCTTTCTGCCAGCTCCCCAGTCTTCAGAGACCTGCAGAGAGGTGGTACTAGCCCAGCAAAGGCTCATCCCAGCTCACACCCTGCTGTGGTAAGGAGTGCATCCTCTACCAGCACTCAGCTCTTGTGCAAACCAGCTCCCACTTCCCCTGTGCTCACCACAGGGGCATAACAGGTCCTGCTTGCTGCTGCAGAAGACCAGTCCAGCCAGGTGCCAGCAGTGTTGGGCAGCCTGTAAACCCCTCTTCCCCAACCACCCTGTTACCTTCTGGGTCCTCACAGGAGACCAGCATGGCCAGCACGGCGAGGAAGAGGAGGCCCAGTCCCATAGCGCACCCTCTGCCCTCCTCCCCTTATCCCTCAAATCAAAGGCCCCTCTCTACTTCCCCAGGAGAAAGTGAACTTGGTTTCCATGCTGTAGGACAAGGGGAAAGGGAGGAGACATTCCCTTTAATGCCAATCCTCTCCCCAGCAGATAATCTCTGGCAGATTACCCTCCCTGGGTTCAGTGTTTAAAGGGACAACTCCTCCCAGTCACCACATCCTTGTGTTCACTCCCAACACCAAGCACTCACATTGTGCAGGAGTGCTGTAGTCCAAGATAATGCAGGTGCAGCTGTAGCTTTGGCAGCAGAGCCCTGAGGCCCGCATGCTGGAAACAGGGCCAAGCTGGAAGTGCTGCGAATGAAACCTGGCAGAAGGCCATTCTCTCAAGGTATCCTTAATCCAGCTCTGCCAGGTACTGGGAAGCAAGAGCTGGGCAGGGGCAGGAAAGGTTGGGCAAGACCCAGCCACATCACTTCAGCAGCACAGGGATGCTCTACCCAGAGCTAGCAGCATCCTCCTGCACTGTGTGCTGTCAGGGCTGCTGGGACAGGCAGCTGCCTCCTACCCTGCCTCACCCTGAGCACAAGGTGCCCAGCCCATGGCCCTCGCTATGTTCAAATGGATCCAGGCCCAGCAAACCTTCCACACAGCTTGCAGCAGGCAGCTCTGCCAGCTTCATCCCTGCTTCCTACTAGCAACTGCAGAGCATGCTGCCCCTCACTCAGAACACAAGCCTAAGGGGCTGCTCTCATCACCCCATCCCAAGGGCACAGCCACAAATCACACCCAGTGCTTGTAATAGGAAAGTGAGCAGATGGCCAAGGGTTTAGTATAAAGTGATTTCCTCCATTACCCTGAAATTCCATCAGCTTTTGCTGAACTGCTTGAGAAGAAGAGAGGGGAAAATCAGCATTCAGCCCGTATCAGCAGAGTGCTTCCCTGCCTTCATCTCAGCACACAGGGTGATGAGGGCCAGTATCACTCCAGGGACATCAGCGCCACACTATCCTCATCCAATTCACTTGACGAAGGGCAAGCTGGCTCTGCTCACAAGCCCAGACATCACAGACAGATGACATTCACACCCCGAGGGAGACAGCAAAAATCAAACCCATGTAGACAACAAGAGTGCCAAAGCTAAACCTGGCCTTCCAGTGCCACCTCTGGGATGTGGAACAACACACTCTCCAAGGCAGCTGCACCAAGCAGAAGAGAGGACATGTGAAGAGAGATCCTGGCTGCTCTTTGGTGCCCACCTCCTGCACTGCAGACTCTCTCATCCTCTCACCATAACATGCCACGGCTGGCAGGGATGGGGCTGAAACAGACACCAAACACTGACCGTCTTAGCAGTCTGACTTTTATTTGTCTTGCCAGAGAACGCTTTGCCCAATCAGGAGCCCAAACCCCAATGTGGGGGAGAAACCCAGAGGACAAATGCAGTAAAAAAGCTTCAGATTTCCCAGTGCTGCAGTATCCTGCAAGGGACAGTACCTCCAGCCCTCTCCTCCCAGGGATCAGTGCAGCATAATGGGACCAGTGGTGCAAACACCCCTAACAGCACCAGCTGAACGACCTAGGAGGGGTGATGTGCAGGGAAGTACCGATGAAGGCAAAGAGAGAACATGCCACCCCTGGAGAACAAAGTATGGGTTGTGGAGAACAGCTCTGTTACATGCCACTCGTCTCCCCAGGGAAGAGGCTCCAGCTGGTGCCTGCTCAGCACACCATCCTGCCTGGGGAGATCCTAGCTGAGGACCAGGCTGAGTAAGTGCTAACAACTTAGCTGCACAGCAGCAGGGAGCACATCACTGAAGAGTGACAGAGGGGAAGCACTGTGACAGGCAAAGGCCAAACCTCCTGGAAGGGTAGGAGAGGCTTGCTAGTCCCTAATCCCCACAAGGAGGAGACAGCTCTTTCCAGCTCAGATCACTTGACCACAACTGAGAGAGACCTGTTCTTCCCCTTCTCGCTGTGCTGACCAGAACCAGCAGCAACTGAGGCTGGGGCAGCAGAGGAGGAAATTCACCAGCTGCAGGCAGATGAAGAAAAGCTCAGCCCTATCCCTCAAGCACTTAGTAGCCTGCCCAACCAGCACATCCCATGGAGACCCAAGTTTTCCTCATGCAGAGAGGCAGGTAGTGCCTCACACGATCTGGATGCCCAGCTCCTCAGCTGTCTTCTGCAGACGGTCCATAACATTCTCCTCCAGCTCCATAGCCAGCCCATCGGCTGCTGCCACTTGCTGCTCTGAGGAGGTGCTGGCCATGACATAATACACAGTTTCAGTCTCCCCATGCTCATTGGTCCTGTTCACCACATGGATGATGGGGTTGGATGGGGTGCCTGGCTCTTTCCCCGATGACAGTGCTGCTCCTGGGAAGACACTGGGCTGTGCTGGCTCAGGACTGTCAGCAGAGTGAGAAGCTGAGGGCAGCTGGGTCACCTGCAGCTCAGGAACACAGTGTTCAACCGGTTGAGCCTCTGCTGAGGCCTCCAGAATGATGCCCTGCAGGTTGCCCTCACCCTCAGACAGCACCACACACTCAGTTGAGCCATCCAGTGCCTCACCCCGCTTCTCTCTGTCCTTCAGTAGCTGCTCTGTCAGCTCCACGCTCTCGTAACGCACCAGCTGCAGCCTCATGTAGCCATCCTCATGTTCCTTGTACCTGAGCAGACATAGGTAGGGGTGATGGAGATAGACACACTACAGCCCTTTCCCACAAGACAGGTAGCAGCCTGAAGCTGCAGCCAAGGAAGGGAAGGGGCACTATGAAGCTGCACACTGGTTGCAATGGCCAGCAATATATATATGATTCATATATGATATTGTGCAAGTATGATAAAAACCCTAAAAGTACATGGGTCTTGAGCACATTACAGGTAAGTATCAGAGCCCAAGCACTGCCAGGTCTCTACCTCAGCGAGACACAGGATGTGGTTTCTGTTGTCTATTGCACTAGAGGGGAGGTAATGAGAAGCTAAGGCTGGGCAGTACCTGAAGCGAGGATGTCCCGAGGGCCATTTGAACTGATGTTTCTTCCTGAGGTGGACAGTGAGGTTGTTTCCACGTGTGAAGCACTTGTCACAGACATGGCACTTGTACCGGGGCTCAAAGTCACCCTGAAGGGCAGAGAAAAGGATGTAAATACTCCATGAGCCTGATCAGTGGGCCTGGAAGGATGAATCATGTTCTCTGAGAAGGCTGATAGGACATACTATTGCAATAGTAAGAGAGGAATGCAACCTGACCTCACATTCCTACAGCGCTGCTCAGGCTGGGGCACTTCACATGACTAGTTTCTTAACTCATGCTTCTGTACAGCATGTTGCACTAGCAGTTCTCACCCTCACTGGGAGACAGTACACAGCAGAATAGCCCTCTGCTGTCTTTGTACCTCATGGACTTTCCGGCAGTGCAGTTTGATGGAGCAGGGGGAACGTGCAGTGAAGGTACAGGCCTCAAACTCGCAGTGATAGGCTGGCTCTTTGCTGTGTGTTTCCAGATGTTTCCTCAAGTCAATGAGATTCTTGCAGCTAAAAGGAAATGATAAGGGAACAAAGTTGAACACTGTGAAGCACACACACAGGTACCTCTGGTTGCCTCTCCGCCACCAGGATGGGAAGATGGAAAACCCTGGTCCTCACCTGTAGTCACAATAGTCACACTTGAATGGCCGCTCCTCACTGTGCCGAAAACGAATGTGATTGCGCAGGGAGGAGGGCAGCGGGCAGGTCATGTCACACATTGGGCACTTGTAATGGTTCACTGTGTGAAAGAGTGGGTGGAGAACATTACTACAAAGCAGGGAAGAGCACACACTCTTGATGGCCTCAGCTGGGAGAAGGGGTCTTTACTCACCATGGTTCCTCATATGGTCACGGAGCAGTCTCTCTGTGGCAAACCTCTTGGAGCAGTGAGAACACTGAAACCTCTGCTCTGCAGCATCAGGGGCAGGGAGAAAAAGGACAGGGTGGTGAGAAAAGAGATCAGAGCAGAGAGAAAAGCACAAAGAACAGCAAATGAGAAAAAGAGGCAGCTACAGTGCAACTGGGAATCCTCTCCAGGCAGAGATAGCAGAGACTGACTACAAACAAAATCACTTGCGAAGACCAATCTGCTTCCCCTTTGCACATCTTCCTTGTGCTGCCAGTGCAAGAACTAGGGAGCAGCCATCACACACACACACATGAGCACAGCACAAGGGAACTCAACAAGCAAATCCCAGTGCTGCTGCAAGAGCCCATTTGCTGCCTTTGACTTTGCCTGGGTCCTTATAGGATGAACAGCTTTGCCTGCAGCAGTGTCCGAGGTCCCAGCCATCAGAAAAGCCAGGCTGCTTCCAAGCACATTCATGCCCTTTGCTTACAGAGAACAGGCATCTCTAGGAAGCCAAATAACCCAGCCACAGGACTGCTTACAACCCACCCACAGGAGCTTACGGTCCAGTGCAGTCTGACGGCGGATGTGGTCAAAGAACTTGGTGTTGTTGGCAAACATCCCCCCACAGGTAGGACAGGCCACCACCTTCTCCTGCGTGTGGCTGCGCAAGTGCTCCCGCAGTTTGCAGCGCCCCTTGAAGGTGCAGTCACAGTCTGAACAGAAACAGCGGAATGCCATTAAGACCCTTCACACACGGGCCACGATTTGCAACCTGACTGAATGGCAGGCTTCTTCTTTCTGTTTTGGTTAGCAAAGATCAACTCCAAAAAGCCCCCAGAGAAGAGTCACAGCAGGATGAGATCACTAAGTGAGATCACTAATGTGATCCCTAATGTTCCTGGACAACATTTGCAATTCAGCCCTGTGCAAAGCTCTAGAGAGGCCTTGCATGCACTCACTAACCTTTCCAGCCACAGAGGACCACATGGTTCTCCTTCCCTCTTGCCTTGTACTCTGAACAGAAGCTGTGATCCTCCACGTGCCGATAGAACCACTCGGGATTATCAAATGATCTCTGTTGGGGAGCAGGGAGAAACAAAACAGGGTGAAGAGATCAGCCAGAGCACAACAGGTTCTTTCACACAGGTACAAACACAGGCAGGCATGCAGGTGAGCTGCACGACAAAAGCAGCTCTCCTTCCCTTGGCTGCACCATCAAAGATGAAACATATGAAAGCGAAACTGGGTTCTCTGTTCTCACCTCGCAGTACTCCCAGAGGCACAGGAAGTTTTCCTGGATCTCAGGGATGATATTGCGGCTCTGGAAATCCAGCTGGCAATGGCTCACATCTGACTGGCTCTGCAGGGCCCGCAGCCCCCACTGCTTCAGCTTGGTGTGGTAGCAGTGGAAATAGACGTGGCGAGTGAGGTCAGCTGAACTCTCCAGGGAACAGAAACCGCATTCCTGCCACAAACACGTGTATTCCTCTGCAACAGGCAGATATTAATGACATATGGCATTTACACCCTGAGAAAACAGGAAATATTCATGCTCTAACAGCCTGGTAGAAACTTTCCAAGTAAAGCTCAGGTTGCAGCACACAGAGAACACCACATTTTTTTTTCATGCAGTTCAGCAGCAGCAGCAGCGCTGCTCTCCTCGGGGAGAGGGGGATCCTCGCACAATGCAGTATCTCACACAAGTGGGAGAGCAGCCATCGAGCCTGCCAGCGCCTTACCGAGAGGGTCCATCTCGTCCCGGCGCTCCTTGGCAAGGTGCTGCTGCAGGTGCTGGGCCACATGCTCGCAAAACTCCTCCATCTGCGAGGCCACGTACGAGCAGAGCTCCCATTCGCACTGCAGCACCAAGGCACCCTTGCCGCCGGCCTTGGCGGGCGCCATGGCCGGGGATGCAGGCCAGCGCGGAGACGCCGAGGGCTCACCGCACCGCCGCGGCCACGAGCTGCTCCGGCGTTGTCCGGCAGGCCTCGGCGGCCCCGCAGCGCCCGGAACCGCGGGGCCCAGCGGCACCGAAACGGCGGCCAAAGGCGGGGGAGCCCCGGGCAGAGCGGAGCACTGGAAGCGCCGCACTCACCGTCCGGCCCTGCCCCGCCGGGGGGCGCCGGAACCCAACGGACTGCACCGCTCCTCCAATAGCAGCTGCCCCGACGACCCGCGGACCAATCACCGCGCAGGAGCTGGAGGCGCTTGTACAGCGGCAGAGAGGGCCCGCCGGGAAGCGGAGGTTTCTCACAAAGGTTCCGGCCTCCTTTGGGGCTGGTCTGCGAACGAGGTCCTTTCGGGATTAAAGCGCGTTTGGTTTGGGGAACCACTTATGGTATGATAACATTTGGGTTCGCTCCTGCCGCATAGGTTAACTTCTGGTGGCTCCAGAATGCTTCCTTGCCTAAACAAGAGAGTCCTCACAGTGCAAAGACTGCAGTCAAAAGCCACATGACTGAGCATCCCAGCCAAGCACCAAACACCAAATGCATCAGGATTGCAGCTCCTGCTGTGAGATAATGCAACATATTCTCTTTACTCAGTAACTGAAGTGACAGTTTGAATTAAACAAATATACATTGACCATTACAGCTGCTGTTCCACGCTTTTGTAACACCAAATGGAGACACAAATCTCAAAGTTTGCTTTGGCACATGTTAAATCCAACTGATTGTATAAAATGTGCCACAAAGAGTGCCTTTCTAATACACAATGGCTTCTGTAACTCCTGTCATACACACCAACTCTCCCCTCTGATGTGAATGGGAGGTATATACCCAAATAAACTCAGTTAGAATCTGCATCTGTTTGGTGGGGGTTTAGTAGTATTATTATTTTATCTCCATTTCTTTGTTTTCTGCAGGATCTGTTGTTTTCAATGTAATTCTTTTGTAACTGGTACAGAAAACACCTGGCCAGGTTAGACAGTGCAAAGCCATGAGCTTGAATGGGGCTGTGATTTAATCTGTATACCCTAACCAAAGTATACAAATATCCAGCACAGAAGACAAAACTATCTGGGAAGCCTGCCAGGAAGCAGGTGGCAAACTAAGCCTCCTGCTGATAAAGCACAGACAGCCCTCTTCTGTCGGACTTCACATGTGCCCACACATCCCCAACCTGCCTGGTGCTTCCTGCCCGTTCTATTACCTGTCAGCCAAACCCAAGACACCTGGGGTACCAGGATGGGGTGGCTAAGAATGGATGGACCACAACAGGACTTGTCTTATGTAAGGGCATATATGCATCATAAAAGAATCGGTACACAGTAGCTTGACTGTGTGAAGTCCTCTTGGTCCTGAGCTCCATGTCTGAGCATGCAGAATACCCGAGCGGTTCTGCAAGTTAAGAATACTGGGAATTATTCAAGATGTTATTTCAGCTCTGCTGTCTCCACTTGCGATGCAGCCTTTGCCAGCTGCTGCTCTTTGCGTTTCAAGTTCATATGGCAGGCCAAATGAATCTCTAGGCCAGCACTGGGCACAGTACACAGAATTACAAAGAGGGACAGATCTCACCTAATCATCCTGCAAGCTGGCAGCAGACTCCACAAAAGGAGAAATATTTAATAATGAAGACCAGATTGGCGCCAGTCTTGTCCTGCTCATGTCAAATGAGCACAGCAACGCTGTGCCCACTCTGCTTGTACACAAAACGCTCTAGAGATCATCTGCCTCACCAAAAACCTATCCTCGGCATATTGACAGGTTGTGCTAACCGTGTTGCAGGGAAAATGGCTTTCTTACAGGAAATGTGGATGTTTCGGAACTAGGATATAAGCTACTAAGCTTAAATAAGAATTTAAGGCTTAACTCTGCTTCTTGTTTTGCAGAAACAGTCTTGCTACCATTTGGAGGCTGGGAACAAAGGAATGGTTATAGCAGGCCTGGCCAAAAGTCCCTTTAATTTGGGTCTAGCAGCACTGTAAAACCAGGTCATATCCTGGCTGCTGTTTCCCTTCCTAGCATCTCAGTGGAGACTAAACTCAGACTTTCCGAAAGAGAACCCCTTGCTTGATAATTGAGAGCCAAACCCTGTTTCTCCCCCTCAGGAGCATGTTGCATTGCTAAAGGATGCTCCAGCTGGTCTCCTGAGCACGTATCCCTGGCTGAGTGTTACTCCTCTCCCCACAGGTGCTGCCAATGACATGCAAAGCTTCCTGGGTTCACAGTGTTCAAAGACCCAGTTTTAATTGTGTGATGCACAAGAGACAGTACTACTCTGAGAGAGAGCCCCTCTGTGTTCATCTTCAACAGCACATGGGTATCTCACACTTACACATGACAAGATGCTCTTGTCCCAGGCCTTGCTTTTCCAGCCAGGTTCCTCACCTGTAAAAGCATGGCCCATCGCTGCAAAACATACCAGCCTTTCACTTAACCTAGGATTTTCCTGTTGGTAAACTGCAGTTTTCATCCATGAAATGTCCACTCAGACAGGAAAGGGACTCTCTGGGAATGATCCACACTGACCATGCAAATTGGAGTGAAACACACATCAAGAGATTTGCATTTAAGCAAATCCCAAACAAGGTATCATGGAGACATCCCTAAATTGTCAAAAACATATTTCCATCAGGCTCAGCCGGATCTTTACCAGTGAAGTATGAGCACAGACCACTCTGCACTGGGAGGTTCATGACAGGCAGCCTTTCTACGAAGTCCTGCAGAATCTGAGAGCTGGGACTTGTCAGCAGTGGCAATGGAAACAGGTGAGTTTCAGCACCTTTTCACAATCGTAAATAGAAGTCTCCATGGAAATATGAGGAAAGAACATACCGTGTTGTCCTTAGGCTCATATTAAAATCAGACAGGATTTTCTAAAATTGATTTGTGGCATCTTTAATGTCACAATAATTTAATAGCATCTATTAGCATGTTCTGCCTTCACTAGGCTGAATTTATATTCCTTCACAATGCAGTACTTTCCCAAAATGAGGTTAGATCAAAATGATATGATTCAATTTGCCTGAAAATTATATAAACTCAGGCCTAAATGAGCATTCTCTTCCCCATGCTGGCAACAGCAGAGTTATCTGGAGTTTCAATAGCTCAGCATCAGATCCTGATAAATAACTCACTGAAAGCAATAGGTTTAGTTCTGTGGGGCTGGACTGCTAAGTTAAAAACAGGGCTAGAGGGCAGAGCCGTTACTTTTATTACTTCTGAATTTGAGCAGAGGAATAACTGTGAGCGCATGAGTGAAGTCACTTCAATGGCACCCATGTGTAAAAGTAAGGATGTGTGGAAGTGTTTTTCTAATATCTTTAGACCATAGTAAATACATTAGGAAAACAGGACTGCAGAAGGGCAGAGCACCAGACACTTTCCAGAACAGGTCACAGAGAAGCAAGTTCAGTTAATACGGAGAGGTTGTGGGATTTGGCAGTATCAGACTGCAGAATAAACGAATAAAAGCTGCTCACAGCTTTTCTAGTGATGCCATTTTGGAAATATTCCCATTCTGAAAATTCAGTATAAGGCTGTCTTCTTGGCTTCAGTGCTCCTCCAGAAGTTCTGTGCTAATCAAGGCCTGAATGTTCTATTGGATGCAGCTAGCAAAGGCTGCAGGTATGAAACCAGGATGGAGCTCAATGGAATGTGCTATACAGTTGAGAATTTTCCATCAGATATCAATGCTGTTATCTCTAAATGAATTCTTATGCAAAGGTGCAAAGTTTCTGCTGTGGAAAGCATAGCTGTTTCTGCCAGTTATGCCTGCTCTTCCACAGCTTTCAAGCTGCAGCTACGTGTGCACATCAGGTAACCATGCTTCCCACTGCTGTCAGCAAGACAGCCCTGGAAAGGGACTACAGGAGGGAGATTTCTGCCATGGGCTGTCAAAAAAAGCCAGATTCAGTATAGAAAGAATGGATATCCATTCCAGCCATGTCCTAGTCTGTCCACAGATATTAAGACTCAGCGTTCACCTCTATTTTGATCATAAATCTTTTGAGGTACTGTCTCTTGCAATGGATTTGCCTTATGCCTAGTCTTGGCTGAGGTCTCTACTCTTCCCTTTCTAACCTCTCAATGTCCACGGGCACCTGGGGACACAATGCCACATGAATGAAAGCGATAAATGGAGCCAAATGACACATCCTGAAAAGCAGAAAGGCAAAACAATAAATGACAGTTTTAAAGATCAAACATGTCAGCTGTGGAATGTCTGCTTGTGTTCCCTTCAGGGGACATGGCTGTGTGTTTTCCAAGGGATTAGCTTCAAATTAAGCTCTTCTCTGGAAGATCTCAATAAAAGCCCATATGGAAACTCCTCCCTGGCTCCACAGGTGTGAGATCTCTGTTCAGGCATAGCCTGCTAGCCAAGATAAAAGAGCTGTTCCTCGTATTGTACCTTGCACCTCTCTGCCCTCACTTGTGCCAAAACACCTGTACACAAGGAAGATCTTGCAAAGCTTTATCCGGGCAGAGGAAGAGGACAAATGCCTCATACCCAAAGTCACACAGACCCTATGGACAGGTTGTGCTGTAATCCAGTCAGGTGAAGAAAATGGATCCTGGCCTGCCATCAGCCTCTTGGGTGACATGGCCAAGGCACTGTACCCCTCTTTGTGCCTTCCTTGATAACCTTGATAAAACAATAGAGTCCCAAAGTAGCTGCCTGTATTCACTGTGGATACAAATCACACTGAGCAGACAGTTCCTTTCTCTTTGCAGAGACCTCCACTGTGATTCACATCACTGTTCAGAGGAGCCATTCCAACTCCCTGGGGTATTTCCACATTTGCTGCGCTGACATCAAAGCTCACAGAGCGATGTGCTGAAAGCCAGCAGCTCCAGAAGGGCAGGGAAGGGCTAAACCAACACCACCTCTGCTGAAAGCAGTAGGGCTGTGCAGTTAAAGCAAATTTTACTGACCCAAAGTGGAAACATAGGATCCCCCAGACCTCTCTTTGGAAAAAGAAAAACCAAACCCCCTCAGCCAGTCATATCTGCATGGAAACCACATGGCACCCAGTGCTGAAATACAAGGTAGGGCAAATGAGCAGGCCTTGGTGTTTGGCTCCTAAGGGATGATTTTATATTAATAATAGCAGTCTTATGTGCTTCCTTCCTAACTTGTCATACAGAGGCAATGAATTTTCTTCTTCCATAACAGCCTCCTCCATCTGCCCTATGCTTTCAATAAACTCCTCTAATGCCCATTTCATTTCCTCAGTCCCTACAGATTTTGGCAAACGGGTGTACCAAGGAGTGCGGGTGAAACACACAGTCAAGGACCTTCTTGCTGAGAAACGATCCAGGCAGAGCAGTGGCTCCCACTTCAGTGTAAGTCACTTTGCATTCCACTACCACACACAGCCCTTTTTCCGAACCAGAAAAGTCATGTCATGCAATCCTCTGGTTTAAAGAGCATTTAGGCTGAGTTCAGGGCACTGCCAACGTTGACGTGGAATAGCAAAAACCATTTGCAGCACCCGTGTTTGCCCCAAAAGATCACAGATGTCTCCTTGATTTTTTGCATTAGTGAACCTTTGAGGGACTGAAGTCCTTTGGGTGTTTTTCCCAAGCAGATCAGTAATGCTGAATTTCTCATTCCTTCCACATCCTGCATATGACACACTTCCAAGTCAACTTCCTTTTTCACTAGCTACACTCAACTCAGTGCCACAAAAATAGATGTTATTCCCAGAATGCTGTGCCGCTTCCAGCTCCTCTCTGGCATACTAGAGTGCCAGGAGAGATGCAGTGATTTTATGCTCTGGAAAGAGGCCAAGCATCAGTTTGTTAGAGATGATTTCTTCTTAAAGTGGTTCTATAGCAACAGGAAACCTAAATTGTAGTGCACTATGTTGTTTTTTCTCAATCACTAGCCAGAGAAGCAATGCTGTGCACAGAAGACACAATATTGAAGGTGCCAGCATATGGCATCTGGTAGCACAGTAAGCCATTCCCTGCGTACTCTTGAGACTCACCTTTACCAAGCAGCAGCGCCTCTTTCCAGGCTGACTGGGAACAATGGGGCCTTCTGACAGATGAGGAGATGCAGTCAAGCTGCTGAAACTGTGTCCTGGAAGGAAAGGGCAGGAGCAAAGACACAAATTACTGGCAGCAGAACACACAGTGTTGTTGCTCTTTCCCTTCATCCACTTGCCTGAGGCTTTTGCCTTTCAGCAAAACCTAAAGAGACCTCAAAGGGACTTCCAAGTATTTTTTTCACTGTCAACTCTGTGACGAAACAGGCAGAAAGCCAGAATGGGCATTAAAAAACAGAGCAAGATCTAGCCATAGATATCTTCACAGCTAACTGCAGAAATGCAGAAGACTGCCCTGAGCCATGGACAGTCACTGGGAAACACATGCTCCCACCAGGAGGCATTTGGGAAGACTGCTTTGGAGAGCAGCAGGAAGCAACTGTTGTGTTTGTGCTCACTGAGACAACAGACCCTGGTTGATGACTATCATGTTTACCTGCTCCCTTTATGAAGAAAGCAGCTTCAACAGCTGCAATAAAAAGCCCTAGGAACTGTAAACCACTTGCTGCTTGCTTTATTTGCTCTGTATTCCAAAGCTTAGCAGTTGTGTGTCTATCTAATGCAGTATCAGCCGTGTTACTAATTCCCTACAAGGCACAAAAAAATATTGTGCAGGGCAAACATCTGTGCTGCATCTTTTGTTTGAACGTGATCTTTGCTCCAAAATTGGTAAGCCGCTGTTTGCAAGGGGAGGTCTATGGAGGAGATTCATGATGCTAAGGAAAAGTCATTGCTCATCGGGGGTGAGCCACTGGGCTGTTTACTGAAGCAGCAGAACAGCAACAATTTCATGACAACTAGCCCCTCCATACATCCAATGACAAGAAACCAGTGTGTATTGTGATGAAACCTACACAGTTTGGGCTTCTGAGTTCCCATCAACTGAAGGCCAGAAGGTCCTGGGCTTTAGTGAAGATCTGGCTTGTTTCCCACTGTAGGCATGAACCAGCATTTACCCTCTGCAGGATTACCTTCTGTTCTCAGGTGAGGAAGCTGCTAGGTACACAGATGTAGCACTATGCCCAGCAGGACTCAGAGGGCAAGGACGGATCGTTCTGCATACTTGCCACCAGCAAACCAGTGAGGTGCTCTACCTAGGCTAAACTTTGCTTTTACTGTTAATGTTTATTACTCCAGCTGCTGTACTACAGATTGGGTCTGGAAATGAGATACACTGAAGCCAAAGTACAGTCAAAGGGCACCATAGAGTCCCACTGCAGGACCATGTCATTATTTTGACCTGCAACCTTACACTTAGTCCCCCAAGGCAGCCTTGTAGCTGAACAACGCTCCCAGGTTACCACAGCAGTGAAGTAACACAGCTCTCTGGAGTACCCCTAACCAGTATATCTGCCCGCTCTTGTGTGAGGCAGGCTAAGACCAAGCTTACCAGCAGCTGAATATACTGTGGGCACAAGTAATGCTAAACAGACACACTGATGTGGTCCAGAAGATCCAGCTACCCCAATCTCACAGCACTGAAAGGAAGTAATGCAAGGAGGAAATGAACTAATGTGCTTCAATTAAGCTGAGCCATTCATCACTTGGTAAGGAGCCAGGAGGCAAGTGAAATGTAGGTCTCTGCAAGTATGTGGGTGCCTGCTGTGATGAAGGCCAAAGATGGGCTGCTGCAGAGGCTCTTGAAATTGAATTAAGGCAAGTAAAACCCTCGCAGCTAATGTCAGCTCTGTGGATATTCACCACAGGCACGTGCAAGAGCACTTGCTGCCTGTGACACACAGATGGTTTCAGTAGCTGTTGAACACACAGGATCAAAGCTGAACTTAGAAACACTGGTAACTTGAAATGCTTCATACTAGAGACTGGCACTGAAGTGACATGGACGCTGAGAGAGAGGTGTCTGCCAAGACCAGATTTGCATGTGGAGGCTTTAGCTTTGCAGGGCAGCGTGCATATCCAGCTATGACCCTCACTGAGGTCTGTGGCCAAAAATGTCCCAGCTGGGGGCAGGTGCAAGTCCTGAATCTGCAGCTTGAACACGTTCATCTGACCACAGGCCAAAGGGCTCCTTCCTCATGCCTCATACTACTCCTGCAGCCTGCGTAGCTCATGTGGGCTCAGAGCTCATTTTCATGATGGAGCAGGGAGCAGCTGCAAACCTTCCTCAGCAGTAAAAGGAAGTCCTGGCACTGGCAAATTTAATTCAAATCTAAACCTCTAAATTTGGTTGCTTGCTATGGCAGGAACCTCCTGTTTGCACTATGCAAACTGAAAATAGCATGTCACCATCACTGGCCACTACAACAGCACAGCTGAAGTAAATGCAGCCGTGGGCATGGTATTTCTGCTCTATGGCCTTGGAAGTCAGGAGACAGAACTCAGTCAAACTTTGTGCGTGAGCTCTCATCCAGAGGAGCAGATGGCTTTGCCTGAGTACTTGTAAGGAATTAGCCACCATGAGCACCAGGGTCACTCAAGGCTAATTCTTCCTTAGGGACCAGGAGAGTATTTTTATCAATACTTCTGTTGCACCCAAATAGGAACTAGAAGCAACTGCCTCCAAACATAGCCTTCCTGTTCTGCTTTGAGGGGCAGCTAATGCAGCTCTGCAGCAGGTAGATGGAGCACAAGAGAGCTGGGCGAGGACACGGGCAGCGCAGAATCTGCCTGTTTTGACCAGCCAAGGGCTTAGAGACCAGCTTATTGAGACCTGTTCTGAGCCAACACCAAAACGGAAGGCTCAGCATTATGCCTACATTAAGGGACCCTGCAGCCCATGAGAAAGCAGCCAGTTATCTTGATATTTCTACTGTTATCAGCTCTACACAAGACTTCAAAATCTCTTCTTAGCCTACATCTGCTAATACCTCAGAGGCCAGATGCTTGAAATCTTAGAGTTAAGCTCTTCATGCTGATAGCACCAGGACTCAAATAGTGCATGTGAATGATGCCAACACCTTCCCAAACTACGTGCTTAGAGAGCTGCCTCGCTTTGAAAAGACCTGTTTTTAACATATCTTTCTCTTTTGCAGGGCAGCATCAGCACACCACAGTCATCATTTGTCCAAATGCCAGGTGAGGTTTTCCTCCACTGATAAACGACTTCTATATTGCTTGGACAGTTGATGTTGCTCCTGTTTCTTCTCCTCCGAAGGACATGAAGTGAGCAAAGGAGCAGTGGAGTAGGGCTACCTCTCAGAGAGAGCCCAGGAGGAAAGTAATTGAAAAAGTCAAAACAGGAACAGCAATAATAAAAGAAAAGCCTCTGTAATCTTGTAAGACATTCCCAGAGGTGAAAAAGGTAATTAAAGCGGTTCCCATCTCTTTTGGTAGAGGTGCCACACAGAAGCCCTTCTTTTCCCTCTGTGTCTTCTAGTTTTCCCTGAAGCTGCAGGGAGAAAGTATGAAACCAGGAGCTTACCTGTTTAATCTGTTAAACTCTTGGGCAGGGAAAGGGGTGTGAGACTGTAACACCATCCTCCTCCCCAGGAGCTGTAGCAGAGCTAGAAAGAAGCAAACTCTGGCCTCATACTTGAAGCTTTCCCAAAACGCACTTGGTTTGCTGCAGATGGGGACCACCAGCTGGATGAGGGCTGACACACCTGCTTGAAGACAGGAGAGACTCCTGCCCTGGGTGATGCTAGAGTGAACAGGGCTCTACTTCGTGTCTGCAGTGGTGGCCATAGCTCCGTGGCTCTCTTGGTGCTGCTGTTATGGTTTCCCTTGAGCTAATTATTTCTCTGCCATTGCAGGCTCACCTACCATGGCTGGTTACTATGGAGTCAGGAGATCCTTCACCACAGAGTTGGATTTCCACAACACAAAGCAGTTTGTCAGTGATGTCTACTCATCCCCTTTAGGGTCCAGGCCCTTCTCAAGTGATTCGTCTGCTACTCAGGGATTCCCAGCACTTCTGGACCCGTATCTCACAGACCAGTATGGGGATTACCGTGCTACTCCCCTCACAGCTGGTACCAGCTCCTTCTTCAGCCCTTCTGTGCCCCCTCTCCTGCCATCTTTACCTAACGACACAACACACTTCCTACTAGTGAGTGAGTCTGTGGTTCTCAGTCACCCAATGAAGGTTTACCCGATTTAAAGCTGGGGTTAAGTCAGGGGGACTTATGCAGGAAGGATGCGGCTGTTACAGGACTCAGCTACAGCAGAGAACACAACAGAAGGAGCAGGACTGAGGGGCAACGGCTGTTCTCTTTGACCATGTCCTTCACATCATTATCCCCTCTTCCTGTTGGAGACCAGCTCCTAAATTAACAACCTCCCCTGCTCCCCAAAACAGATCCTGCATTAAGTTCCTCAAGTTTCTAGAAACATCCTTAGTCAGCTCCAGGATGCTGCCTATCCCCATCAATGCCACTTCTTCATTCACTCTGGGCCCTGCAGGGTCAGGGAGGGTCAGTCCCACTGGGAGCCTATTCTAGGCCTTGCCCACTACTGTTTCCTTTCAAAAGCTTTAATACCAAATACTGCTCCAGAGCATTCCCAGCTAGGCACTGAGGATAGCCTGGCTTGGTAAGGCCAAGCTAGATAAGCCAAGCTTTTATTCTTAAGGGTTCTTTCTTGCTTTCTCTCCCTGATTCCATGCAGAGAGAGCCCTGGGAGCAGACTTCACCCGACAGTCTCAGCCAGATGGATGGTGCATGCTCAGACCCTCTGCAGGCACTGCCTGCCAGTGCCAGCTGCCTCTCCTCACACGAATCGGGAAGCATTTCCCCATACCGAAGCTCAGGTTGGACCGCAGCCATCCCTGGAGCCCAGCCCTACCCTTTGCACCCTCTTGAAGATGTCCACTACTCCCCCAGCTATGCTTCCACCTCAACCTACACCTTCTCACCATTCATGACTGTGGCAAATGAGCTTACCTCCAGGATGAGCCACCTCTCAACAGAGCAGTCCTCAGAGACATCACCTCTGCATGATAACTCTGCCTGGGCAAAAGAGGATGGAAGTCCCATCTGGGGGACTTATGAAGGCAGGAGAACTTATTGATGAGGGTTAAGAGCTGGAGGAAAAGAAGAACAGACCGTTATTGAAGCAAATTAATTACTTGTGTGCTCTCTCCTAAAGATGGTCCTTTAAACAGAGGATGCTAACACCGTACAGTGCTTTATGCTCTGTTTAGAAGTACAATCACTTGGATGTACCGCATTTAGCTTATAGTGGAGCCTTCTAGTGCCTTATGAAAGTCATTGCTCACAGTCCCGCTGTGCTACAAGTAAAATTCACAGCCTGAAAAATATCTGCACAAACAAGGATCTCTGGTACTTCTTTTCAGGTGCTGGGAAAACAGGATGCTCTGAACCTTAAACCCCTTACAGAGCATTACCAGAAAACATTTAGGAAGAGCAAGGCTGGAGCTGGGGCAGGGACTCCTTAATAGCACAGAGTATGTGTAATGGTATCTTGTTAGCTAGCAGCATAAATGCTAGTTCCTAACTCCATGCTATGAACAATGACATTATCTTGAGCAACAGTTATGCCCAGAGTAGTAAATGCATGACACATTAGAGCCTATAGCACAGGAGGCTACAACCAAATAAAGCTGGGGGCCTGGCAGACTGTGGGGACACCATCCTGCCTGATGCTCTGTGCAGGAGGAAGCTGGATCTGTAATGCACAAAGCACACCCTCCCCGATTTCCTTTTCACCTTGAAGAAAACGCAGAGCTGTTCCCCGCAGAGAAATACAAGCCTTGAGTCGGTGGGCATAAGGCAGAATGCTGCCAGCCCCTTGCCTAGAGGTACCTACCTGGCCTTAGAACTGGGACCAAGGCCGATTTAAGGTCCCGGGGCTATGCAGGGGCGCACGGCCACTAGAGGTAGCTCTGCACCCACAAACACTCACTCAAAGGAGCCCTGCGCAGCCCTCGCACATGCAGCCAGTCCCGCCTGCTGCATCCAGACCCGATGGAGGTTACCCGCTCTGCCCCATCTCACCCCCCAGCCTGGCACCCACAGAAGCAGCAACAAATCCTTGCTGAGGAAGAACAGAAGCTCTCCAGTGCCTGAAAGTGTGTAGCAGTGAGATGCTTTAAGGCCCTCCTTGCCTCTTCTCAAATCCTGAGGCTGATGGGACATTTGGAGCCTTCCCAGCACAATCCAGGGATTATAAACAGCACCGGGGTCTCAGGATCGGGCCCAGAGCATCGCTTCATGCCATGCTGCCTACAGGCACCTCTCTGTGGGGCAATGTGAACTGGGGACACAGCGCTGCACCTAGAAATAGGCAACGATACTGGGTCCCTGTAAGCATCACTGCAAAGAGCTGCCAAGCAGCCAGGCCAGTCCTCTGTACAAAGCCCTTTCCTGTACAGGGATACCACCCAGCACCATTCCTGGTACCCCTCCTCCTGGTAGCCCAGGAATGTCCTTACACCCCAGTGGGCACACAGCAACCATACTGGGCAGACCCATTGATATCTTCAGGGACCCAGCACAGCCTCTACCCACAGGGGTTTGCAGCCCGCAGCAGTAGCCCTGGAGCTGTCCCAGGCTCTTCCTACCTCAGGAAGAGCCCACAGCTGGCCAGGAGCGCCCAGCTCCGGTCCTGGCTGGACTGGGGTCCCTCCCAATGCTTCCTGATTCCCCAGCCTTGTTCAGACTTGCTCAAAAAAGCAAACTCCAGCTGCTCTCTGTGCCTCAGATCTCACCTCTGCTTATCCCCATGGGCTGTGCCCTTCTGTTTGCGAGTGGCGTCCTGTGGAGACATGGAAAGCTCAGCCCAGGGAAAGAGCCATCAACCAGGACTCCTCCACACACGCTGCTAAGCATGGGGAGAGGTGAGCCCAGCTGCCTCCCCATGCTTGGACCCTGGGCACCAGAGGCTCCTGCGAGCAGCCAGCATGGAGCATCCCAGGGTGGCATCTGCTCAGCCAGAGCTGCTCCCCTGACCATGGGTCAGGGGAAGGCAAGGAGCCCCAGAGCATCCCAGGTGTGTGCAGGTCTCCTTGCCCTGCACCCAGTCCCCTGTGCTGCCAAGCCTGAGACCTGCATGAGCCCACAGCATCGCTCTATACCACAATGGACAGCACCACCTGGATCGCTGTCTGTAGCTGCTGCTTGACCAAGTGGCAAATCTCAGCTGTACCTTCTCCAAGGGCCTTGCATGGACGGGCACACCAGCTTCAGTCTGGCTGTATTTCCATCAGGCTCTGAGAGAGAAGCAGGGATAGAAAGTTTCTGAGCTATCTTGGAAATGTTTGACTCACTCTGGCATTCAACTCTTAACCAGCTCTGTGAGCCTGGAAATGCTCTGAAACCCAGGACATGCAAGAACACCCAAACACGGTGCTTCTTGTTTCCTTAAGGCACACAGATCAGCCAGGACTGGAGCTGAGCAGCCTGCACTCTCTGCTCTGTGGTCTCTGGTTACAGAAGTAAACACTACCCTGGCTCCCAGCAGTGCCAGCTCCCCCCACACCACCATAGCCTCACCGGCTCTACCCTCCCACCATCAGCAGCCACAGCAAGGGCTTCAGGTCCAAAACCTCTTAGGCAGGCCTGTGTACTCCCCTGTGACCCCCACTGTCTTTTGCTGCATCACAGGTAGGAAGACAGGGCTCCTGTCCAGAGTGGTCCACGGGAAGCATCCCTACAAAGCCACCCCAAGCAAGGGGCTTCACACCCACATTTCAGCACAAGGAATAGCATCACAGCTGAGCCCACTCCCCACAGAAACCAAGTGTATTTGTTCAATTAAAGGAAAACATTCAGCTGCAACAATAGCCAAACTGCACTGCTGGTAGATTATTAACAGCCTGGCCTGCTTTCTGCTGCAGCCAGCTATTCCCAGGGCATGGCAGAGACTGCGGTGCCCAGGGACAAGTTTAAATGCAGCCTAAAAATCCCAGCTACATCAGTATTGCATAGTGATGAAGGGTTATCCAGAAACTGTGCCATCCTACCACACACCAAAACCCCACCACTCACAGCACACATGGCAGGCCAGCACTGCAGCATGCAAGAAGAGGGGGGGCAATTTGTGCAAGGACAGCAAATAGTCTGAATTAGGGGAAAATGCAAATAAACTCCAATATAAGTTTGGTATCTGAGCAGAGGAAAAGGGTGTGCTGTGGAAGGAAGTGGGATTTGGGATCTTCAGCTACCTGGGTGTCCAGTGTGTAACATCACACATGCACACTGCCATTTGGGCCCCAAAACCTTAGTATTTAGCCTTAAAATGGGAAAAAAAAACATGCAGAAAGCAGCTCAGCCCCTTGTAGAGTCCTCTCTGCAGGTAGCAAATGAAATATGAGAGGGCTGGAGCCCAGCCTGTGCATCTGAGGTGAAAATACTGAGCCAGGTGTGAGGCATCTGCTTTGTTTGGGGCAAGATGGATAAAACCCTGCAAATGTCCCAAAAGCAAAGGGTGGGGAGGGTGGCCCTACCAAATCTTATTCCCCCAGACCCTCTGCTAGATGGGGATGTGCTCAGGTTCACAAAAAGATAGCCCATTTTGTGGAGCCTTTGAATATTCAAATTGAAAGTATCGCGCAATCATTGATTGTCAAATCATTGGTTTCTAGAGGTTTTAAATACTTGGCATTAGGAGAGAAAAACTCAAACTTATACCCGTAGGGATAAAACAATAATATTGTCGGGATCCACCTGTCATTGCTGCCAGGCAAGCAGGTCCCTTCGCCCCCAAATTTTAAGCCTGTCTCCTCTTGCCCCCTTCACCTGCTCTGGGGCTGGGGCCGGGGCCACCACTGCTGCTGCACCAGGCGCCCGGGGAGGTGCTGCCCACTCCTGCTCAGGATGTCCGGTAAGCCCGGCTGCGCCTCATCCCCTGTATCCCCCCGCCACCCCATTCTGGGGCTGTTTCGGGGCTCGCCGGGGTCACTTCGCGAGTGAGGCAATCGCCTCCCGGGCGAGGAGCACCCGGCAGGGGAGGGCGGGGAGGAGGAGGGAAGGAGGCGGCTGGGAAGCGCTGCTGCTGCCCGCCAAGTGCCAGCCCCGGCCGGCCAAGGAGCGGCCGCCGCGGGGCAGCCGGCGGGACCGGAGCGCATCGGGCAGGGCTGAGGGGAGCCGGGGCGCCGCTCGCCCTCCGGCAGCCATCCCCGTGGCTCCCCGGCGGGGAGGCGCTGCCGTCCCGAGCCCTGCGGCGGGGGAGGGAGACGCGGTCCCAACACCCTCGTCCTCTGCTTTGTGCCCTCCCCGTTCAGCTCTTGACCCTCAGCCTGCCCCAAGCCCACCCGGACACACAGCATGAATTTGTTGCCCTGCTCCTGATCCCCACGCTGACCCCCAGCACACCCTCACCCCCCTGCTCCTAGAACCCCAGTCCCAGCTAAATCACCCTGCCCCTTCCATCCACAGCCTGGCTGTGGCAACCCTGCTCTTGATGCTTCAGCTGCATAAGACTGCGCTGGGGCCTCAAAGTGCTGGAAAAGCAGGATCCGTGGGGCACAAAGCTCTGCCATGGGAACCAGGGGTGGGAGCTCTCTGATACCCAGCCCCTAGGTTACAGATGTGTCTTTACCTCATCTGCTAGTTTAAGTTGCTCACAGTGTGCTACCTGTGCAGATCAGAGCTGAAGCTGTATGTAGCATGTACTCCTCTTGCAGCTGTAGCTCCCTGGCTATAGGGAGGCCTGGTTTGTTAAATTCAACCCTTCCCTCCCCTCCTTTTCCCCATCTTCAGTTTGTTGAATAGAAACAAACCAGAAAAAGATGAATAATCTCCAGCTGCTGGGAGCACAGCTCAGCATGCTCCCCTCGAGGCAGACCCGGCTCAGCCTGTCACCTTTCTGGAGGGACCTGTATGCCTGTTACAGCATGTCCTCACCCTTGAGTACCAAGGGGGCAGGAGGAGGAGGGCTAGCCGGACAGCAGGATGAAGCTGTAGGGAAAGGTTAACAGCAGAAGAGCATATGCAGGCGGACCCTGCAAATCCAGCACTGTCTTCTTGCTGCAGCAATAGGATAGGGGACCTGCAACCTGCTGCCTTCCTTGGGGAACAGCGGACTGCAGGATGAAACAACACTGGTGTTTGGTGTCTGTTTCGGCCCCATCTCTGCCAGCCGTGGCATGTTATGGTGAGAGGATGAGGCAGTTGCCTAGAGTCTGCAGTGCAGGAGGTGGGCACTGAAGAGCAGCCAGGACCACTTCACACGTCCTCCGTTCTGCCGCTTGGTGCAGCTGCCTTGGCGAGTGTGTTGTTCCACATCCCAGAGGTGGCACTGGAAGGCCAGGTTTTGCTCTGGCATTCGTTTCCTCCTGTGGGTTTGACTTCTGCTGCCTCCTTCAGGGTGTGAATGTCAGCTGCCTGCGATGCTGCTTGGTTAATATAGAGAGTACCTTTGGGTGTTTTACCGCGGGTAGAGCAAGTGAAAGTGATTTTTCACAATAGGTAAATTCTTTACCATTTCCTGTACTAAAAAGCCCTCATCAGGTAGTGACTGATGATTTGCTGACTGGGTTTGGCTGGATTAAATACATTCTAAATGCTTGTTTGAAATCAATGGGTGTTGTACAGAATGAGTGAAAGACAGAGATAATCTAGGCTTTGCAAGAAGTGATTCATGAAAGCAGTCATTTTATTTGGGTTTTGTTTAGACCTCTGAGTAACTGCCCACACTTTTCCATTGGTCCTCATCTGCCAGATGAAGTGCTTCACAGGTTTATTTTCAGGTCCTAAGGGAGACAAATATGATAGGAATTTTATATAGATTCAATAAATTAACATACCAAGCACCAGATGGAGCTTGGTATTAGTACACCTGGGGGGGGTGGGAACAAGGCAATAGGAAAGAATAAAACATATATGATTACTGAATATAATCAACTCCATCTTTTCCAGAAATGTCTGTTTGCCACAGGCTTGAAAAGCAGGCACTGAAGAGGGCTATAAACTGTGATTACAAGTGACTTATCAATGACAAGTTAATCAAGTTTGCTCTGTGTAAAGCATGACTGAGAAAAATGCTGGATTTGCTCTAGGCTTTGAAAGTCTCCAATCTTCAGTGTTTTTTCCACACATTCTTTCAGGAAAGCCCAAGGTGTATCAAGGTGTTAGAGTAAAGATTACAGTTAAGGAGTTACTGCAGCAGAGAAGAGCACGACAAGCAGCAAGCAGTGAAGCAGTAAGTAGAACTCTTGTGGTGTCTGCCTTGTCTCTTAATCTTTCTCTCCAAGACTGTAATCTCTGGGCCAAGTGGACTGCCTGTCTGAGTGTAGCAGGCTGGTGAATATGGGGGAGAAGAACATTCAGCCAGAGTAAATGCAGCAGTGATCCAAACACGATATCAAATCATCACCTCTTTGGTGATGATTCTTGAGTGCAGGGAGAAAGCAGAACTGGTGCTTCAGAAACATAACTCACTCTGCAGCAGAAGGGCCAATATGGGCAAGTTTTGGTCCAACAGCAACTCCAGTATCATTATGTTGGATAAGCAAGGCAGGCCACGGTAACTGTCCCCCATGTAAAATATGGCCTGGTCAGGGTAAGCAACAGCCCCAGAGTTTGTCTATCAGGAAGGAAGAAAACAAAGCATGGGCAAAGACCCCTTAAGCAAGGCTCCATCCTGCTCCATTAGGGCTCCTTAGCATAATATTCAAGTATACTTAACTAAATTCAGGTCTCTAACGTTTTTTAGTATCACCTGGGCAGCTCATAGCCTCATCCCTTCTAAAGGAGGGGATGGAGATCTGTGTGTGTACACACACACACATGTATGCACTCTCTCACTTTTCCAGTCTTTGTAGGAGTCCTCTAGCTCCAGCCACTCTTAGGGATTTGCATAAAGAGCTTGGTAAATCATTACTTCTTCCTGGTTCATGACATTACAGCTTTGGATAGCTTTCAGATTTATCTCCACCTCCTGCACCTCGTTGCAGCTGATTGCACAGAAAGCTGATCAGCCTGCAACCTACAGGCAGGGAGGCCTGGGTGAACAGTGCCCAGAACAGCTTCGCTTTAGAGATGCTGGGCTACTCCTCCCCTCCAGCCCTAACAGAAGCAGCCTCTCCATCACAGCAGATGTCACAGGCTGCATGGAACTGGTTTTTGCTCCCCATAGCGAGTTTACACAGCGTTTGTTTTGCCCACACAGGAAAAAGTGGCAACGCAGGAGGTTGCCTCTGTGCTTTGCAAAAGGTATGCATTGTCTTGGAGAGGCCCCGTAGGTTAGGGCTGGCAGGATAAGCTACCTCTGTGCACGGAGAAAAGCTGAACCTGGAAACTTCTGCTGCCAGTGGTATAGCTATGTCTGCCTTGTTACGTATCTGCAGCCAAATAGGGGTATTCCTGTGGGTACTTTCAGCCCAGAATAGCTGCTATTTAATGAATTAAATGCATGGGGATGAGCTAGGAAGTCGTTGCTAAGGAAATAAGCCACTCATTTTTAATAAAGGAAACTAAATGGAAATTGTATGAATTAAAACTGAGGGGAAAAAAAAACCCACAACAACCCAGTATTTGTATTTACAGACTAAAATCCTGGCCCCGAACAACAAGCACCAAAGCGCGTATCGCTTTTGTGGTGGATTTCTTTACTCCAGCAGGTTAGGTTCCTAGAACAATTGATCTGTCTGCTTCAGCTTCCAGCATCCCTTACAAAATGAGACTGTCCAGTTTCACAGAAGCATGCAGCTGTGTTAGAGTGGGGAGCAATGTCAGAGCTGGCACTCAAATGACATCAACCCCGAACACGGCGATCCAGTCTGGTGCCCAGCCACAGGGATACCTGCAATTGTCTTTAGTCATGTTTCAAGAGTATCCCTACAATTTGTTAACTACTCTCAATCATAAGTATCCCTACAAATTCTTTGGGATCCCTCCACTGTGGATCGTGGTCCTAGAAATTAACACGTTAGTTTCAAAGGGAGCCACATCTCTACTGAATTAGCAGTAATAGGGAGCGCACCCTAACAAGGTGCTCTTGATAGAGCTTTACACCAAGCTGGTGTTGTGCCCCTCCAGTGCCATTATAGGCTCAAGAAAAAATCATGTTATGCACATTAATCTTGTTAATGCTAGTGAAGTTTTCCATATTACACCCATGAGGTAAATAAGGTTTACATAAATATGTTGAAGAGAAATCCCGACTTACCTCAGCACACAGAAGAACGCTCTCCTATGTTATAGTATCTGCAATCCCTTTTCTTCCCTTCTCTTTGGTCAGGTTTCCTGGGGCAGCGGCAGCATCCAGTTTCCAGAGTCTGTGTCTCCACCTCACCCAGGTTGGTATAAAGCCCATCCATATGTCCCTTCCCACCCCCTTCCCAATTTTTTCCCACAGCCCAGAATCTTTCCAGCCTTGATTGAGGCAGGCACCACCAGATAACAGGCAATGCAGCCAATCAGCACCTGAAAGGAGCGCACGAAATGCAGATGAGGATCCTGTGAGGCCAGCAGGGTACATATTACCCCATTCAGGAGCACAATCACATGCTCTCATTTGTGCAGTTCATTTTCCTACAGCAAGGAGAGAGGTCTCCTTCAATAAGGGATGCTCATCCCCTAGGGAGTAACACTGCTGGTGTCACCGTCTCCAGGCTTCAGTCTGTGGGTCTGAATGGATCTAGAGGGTCAGATTGCACTGGAGCACTTTGCTGAGCTCCAGCAGTTGGCTGTTCTCACTCTCCTGGCAGCATCCATGGGAGTGAGAGGAGTGTCAGGTTTTCAGCAACACAAAGAGTTTCTTCCTCCTGTATGTGAATATCCAAGGAAAGTGGAGAGGGGTGGAGGGTATAGCATTTTGAGCTTACAGATCCTTCAATTATTCTACAGCCAAAGCAGAGACCTAAAAGGTTGGGCAAGTGTGGATATATACATTGTATGGACATCCATCAATATTTAGGAATCAATTTGCTTATGCTAATAAACAACTGTGAGACATACCACAGCTTTTTCAGGCTGGAAAGTCTCCATCTGTTTATGTATTGTTCCTTCCTCCTCCCCACATCCAGCTAAACACTGCCACCCTGAACTTGCAAACTACTGGGATTCTGAGTGGCTCTCTACCTATGTGCAGTTCCATTGCCTTCAGGCCTGTGCCCCTCCATGTGGACAGACTTTGCTTTTAACCATATTTGAACACAGCATGATCATTCTGAAAAGTCAGATATGTTTTCATACCCCAGCAAGAGTGTTGCAGTACATTGAGAGTCTGACCCTACGGCTTTCTAGGAACTCACTCGTAACACTATGGGGGTGCAATGCCACATTATCATTGACTTGCTCCATTTTGTCTGCTCAGAGGTTTGTCTCCTGACTGCCTGTTTGGAGTATTAAAGAGCAAATTGTTCTCCTGTTACCCTCTTCTTCCTGTAGATGTAGCTACCTTGCATCTGAAGAGTGAGGCAAAAGCGCAAGCCATCTGCCAAGCTGTGAAGCATAAATCACTGCATGGTAAACTTCTAGGTCTGTAAACAGCTGACATTTGAAGGGAGGCGAGAGGATCAAGAGTCTGAGGGAGTTTCCAGCTGGATCCCTGTCCAAAACGGCTGGAGCCAGAATTGTTTCCAGCAGTATTTACAGATTTTTGGAGCTTTCCAATGGGACTAGGTTTCCCCAAGTTATTTGCATGCTTTTGAGCATCTTCCTTCTGGTATCTGCTTCCCTAGAATATTCACCCTGAACTTGAAGGACCTTTTTCTTTGTCTAAATCTGTAGGGCTACTGAACATATGAGAATACTGAAACCTGACCTGGGGCAACATCTGCCCTTTACATCTGCTACTGTCTGGTTTACCTTCTCTCCTAGGACCGTTTGATGCAGAACCCAGCTCTTCTGTTCCCAACTATTGTCCATCCTGGCAGTTTTCAAATTGCCTCTCCTGTGAAGAAAGCCCTAGCTATTTGGAACAACTGGTAGATTCCTGTCTTCAGACAGATGCACCCTCAGATCCAGCCTTCAGTGGTTTCCAGACGTCCTCACACTACACCTCAGATGCCTTCCAGGCGGTCCCACACTGCTTTAACCAGGGTCTGGTAAGTTTTGTGTCCCAGGGGGACAGAACAGGGAGGAATGTCCTTTCTACACATCTGCAGATTTTATGCAAAGGATAGCCCACCTCCTGCTAGGGATTCTCTAACTCACAGACAAGCTCCCTATTAACACTAATGTCACAGGAACTGTGGGTTTAAGCTTCCAAGGGCCAAACCCCCAGACCCCCCTGAGAAAGGTGACATTATTGAAATCCTGGCAGCTGTCCACATTTCCCCAGATGACACCCTGAAACATCCTGTGTTTTGTTGTTTGGTTTGGTTTTTCTTTTGTTTTCTCTCAAACTCCAGGCTGCTGGATCCCCCAGTTCGGCTGATCTGTCCAGCCCGTTGAACTATAGCTGCTCTCCTCCTCAGCTATCTCCTGTCACACCACTGACCCACAGCCCACCCTCTGCTCTGGACTCCGAGACTTACAACTACCCTGCGGAGGAATGGTCCTGCCATACCCCCTCCGCATACACCGCCTCTGCCTGCTGCTGCACTGCCTATGGCTCCCAGCATGTGGACAACAGGGTCCCACAGTACTTCCCCTGCCCCAGCACGGACTGCATGGACTACCTCCCTCCCATGGCCGTGGCCGATGACTTCTTCAGAAGGGATAGGAACTGTGACATCTGCTATAGCTAATGGGGACTGTGGTTTTACACATCCACTGTATCCAAATCAGATTAATTGCCCATGAACTATGCAAAGCTGTGCTGCCTAACACAGTTCAGTTTATTCTTCACTACTCACACATTTTCTACATGACACTGTTACTACATTAATCCTCCTGTCTTGTATGGTCAGGGGTATTGGGGTGTTTTGTTGTGGTGGTGGTTTGGGGTTCTTTTGCTGCCTTACCAAACACATGTAATTAAGCCCTTTTTGATACAAATAAATAATTTGGTACATATGCTGAAGCCTGTTCATTCCTCATGTACTTTTCTGCTAACGATGCAGGATCCTTGCCCTGTTTCTCATAAAGGTAAGGAAGAGAGACTTCCAGCAACCTATACGGAAAGTAATTACTCAGCAGCATGAAAGCAACTTACCCTTTCCAGCAGATAGAGTCTGCAGCAGATAGTCTATACGTATCTCAGCATCTAGCACACTATCTACAGAGAAAGCTGTACATTAGCCTGCTCTGGCGTGGATCTGCGGTTTTGTGGCCACTGTTTCTGCTCAGACTGCATGATGATATTCTCTAGCAATCTTGCAGAGAAGGAAAGCTGCTGTTTTCCATGCAAGCCCAGGGCTTAGCCTATGGGTCATGTGCCAGAAAGGCCCCTCAGCCTGCACAGAGATTGAATCCAGTGCCAGACATCTTTGGCTGCTGATCAACACCAGCTTCCCTCTAAAGGCAGGGTTTCAGTGAGAAGCTGCTGTAGTTTGGCAGCCCTTTGTATAGTTTGGTCTGTTGATATCAGGTTTTCTTCACCATTCAGTGTGATCAACTGAACAGGAGCTAAATGATTTATTTTTTTAAGTAGATAATGGGAAAGTTATCATACCTGAGGATTCCCTGTTTCTTGCATAAACCCAGACCTTTCTAAGACTATGTCTTACCTCCTTTCAATAGCACTTGGTGAGGCAGACTGCCAAGCCACCCATTTCTCAGCTGAGTACCCAGCCTGGAAAGAAAGAAGCACCTCTCCGTATTAAATCCAACACTAATCAAAAGAAAAACAACTACAAGTTAGTAGGGAAGACAAATACATCATTTAACTAGCTGTACTGGTGAATGTACAGGTGAAAATGGTTTGTAAGCATTCAAAAAGACGAGTGCTCATATTAACACATCTTACAGCAAGGTTCTTAAGTATTCCAGTCTACACAGCAGTGCCACCAAGAAACTCTAGTAAAAGTGTTACAGCCTAACAACGTAACTCTTGCCTCCACATCAGGCAGATATCTAAATCTAATACATTATCTATCAGCAGACTGCACATTTATCAGTATCTTTACAGCTATCAGTGAGCACACTGCATCTCAAAGAGGACTGCTTTGCACTTGGTGGTGTGCAGTGGGGAAGTTGTGCTCATCATTGATGGCTGTTGTTTAGGCATGACCACTTCAGAATGGCAGTGTGAGCATGAGCACTACAACCCACCCTACATCCCATTCTTATTCCCAGTCCTTGGATGTCGCATGACCCAGGCAAAAAAACCCAGTCCTCCCAGTGGGGCAAGCTGGAGGGCTGGGCTGGTTTCACCACTGAGCTTAAAACAGCTTCCATTAAGTAAGTAGCACTATTCTCCATCCCTTGTCACCTCTTCCTATTTTTCTGCTGCTCTTCCTCCAGTTGTTTTGCAATCCCCTTGCCAGGGGCTGGAAACATGTTTTAGACACTGATCTCCAGCTCTGTGTCAATAGTTCCAGGTGACACATGCAATGCAGGTAAAAGCTTGCTGACTGTTGACATAATGATGTCTTGTTGACATAAGAAAGGAAATAAAGCCTTCAAAAACAACAGAGAAGGACTATTCAAAGGTTGATTGTGCATTTTCTGGTTATGAGGAACATTTTCTCTCCCCACCTCCTTTGTCCCCCCCAAAAGGGAGGGGGACTTAAAGGAAAGTAGTTTGGGTCACATCTCAACAGAGTTGGCACGGCACTACTGAAACATTGGCATTTCACGAGTCCCTGCCAGCTGAAGCTGTGCCAGCCTATATAAACACATGTTTACACAAAAGTGAGGATCACCTCATTCTTACAAAAGCCACGAATAACTCCAGAAGTAACCCACAGTTACAGAGAACATTAAAGGTTCATATTTTCAGCTTCTTTTCCAATTGCACAGAGTATTTGATCAAAAAGATTTGCTTGCCAACTGACTGGTGACTTTTCTATGGTGCCACTTAAGAGCATTTGTTTGGTGATAACAAGCCTTTGTTATTAGCAATTTATCCAAAGCCACAGATAGGAAGAGATAAACTGTGCAAATAAAGGGGTATCACACGCTGCCAGTACTGCTAAAGCTATAAAAGCTACTGTTCCCCTGAAAGAGTCCTCAAAAACTGAGGGGTTAACTGTGAACTAAGATACTGCTCAAATCGATGAAATTCATGCCAGCACAGAAGTCTTAACATTCAGGCCACCTTTGAGCCTTAAAAAGGGATTTTCTTTACACACAGGCCAGGAACTGCTTGGCTTGACAGGGAAAGGTGCTTTATATGCATGGAGAAGCAGCAGCCTCCAACTGTCTCGTGGATCCAGGCCAAAGACAATATGAACGTTGTTCACTGTTGATTGTGGTTGGCCTCAGAGCAGGCCTCTAATGCATGAGCTTTGGGAAGCTGAACACAGATGTGCCTGTAGAGAGAACAAATCCTTCCTGGGTCGGTCATGGGTTCTTCCGTCTGCAAATCTCATCTGTCAACTCTGAGTAACAGGCTGCCAGGGCGATGCTTTGAATGAAGCCACATCCATTCGTCCCCACGCTGATATTTTCCATCAAGCCCAGGAGATGGTGATGTTTACAGACTACAAGTCACTGATGGTGTTGCTCTGTATTAAACATCCAACAGCAGGCAGATACAAAAATGAACAGGTAAGCCACCCTAGTAAACAGCTCATGTATTTTTTTCACTTGCTGCAAAAGGATTTCTGCCATCTCACAGACATTTCTCAATGGCAAAAAAGCTTTTTACATTTTCCCTAGTGCATCACATGCCACATGCTAGTCACAATCTTACAGTCTTATTACTAGCGAGTTCAAGAAATGGATAATTTCATTGATCATTTTGTCTTGACACACCGCACTAACTCACTGATGCAGTTGTCATTCAATTCAGGGCTTGCTGTAACATCCCTTCAAAGTAATAAAGCACATGCTTTTGCTGGCCTATGCCCAGATACATGCAAATTTATGCAAACACATGCAAATACAGCTCTGCTTTTTATTGTCAGTGGATGTTGGCAGGTTTGTAAATATGATGTAGTGAGAAGCAATAGCAAAACAGCAGAGATGAGGTCTGTGAAAGCTGAGATCTCTGCATTTCTTAAGAACTTTTGTTCAAGTCTGCTAAACAGTTGTTTAAACAGTCCAGGTCTGGGAGTCTGACAAGTGCTTTAGAAAACCCTCATTTGAGTTAGTCAGTGGGGGATAAAGGAAGTTACAGCAGTGATTTCAGACATCTGCCCTTCATCTTGTTGTTTAGTCCTGTTAGAAATAATAACTTGTGCAACACTGAGAAATCAGTGAACTCTAATTCAGAGTGTGTACTGAAGACGAGACACCCTCTGTGAAGGGGATTGTCAAAACATGGCTTTCTCTTCCATCAGGCATCTACCTTCAGTCATATTGACTCAGCGGACAGTGTTGCCAGTTGATTGCACAGCAATTCACAAATCATTTCACAGAAAGGATAAGAAGAATCTATTAAAACGCCCCCTTAGATAATAATGGGAATAGAAAAGCACTTACCACATTGCACTCTGACCCTGCTGTGTTCATGTACACACAGCTCAAAGATTTTCTACCCTGTCCATATCTAAAAGCTGATGAAGACCCAAAGGAAGCCTTGGTCTCCTATACAGGCATTAGTTCAGGTGAGGTTTCAGCTCCTCACCCTGAAGTGCTTCCAGAGCTGCTATTTGCCATCAGAGCTGGAAACTTGCATTGGATCAGATGACTCAAAGAGGAACCCCTTCACTGGGAAGCACTCAGGAGCCACACAAAACCGTACTGCTGAGAACCTGTCCTGCTGAGAACCTTCCCCATGTAGTTGCACTTACAAGCATCTCTCTTCTTAAGTGCTGTGGCAATGGACAGCTGCTTCAGCTTTCTTCCACAAAGTGCTAAGAAATGGGGTAGTAGCAGCTTGCAGAAACCCTCTCTTAGAGCTCTTGAGTTCAAATGTCCATTCACTCAAGTAAAATACAGCCATGGATGACTCCTCAAGCTGACATGACCTCTTCTGTCCAGTCTTTTCCTCCCCCTCAGGTTCCAGCATTCCCAGGCTAGCAGGCACAGTGAAGGTAATTGCACATCAAAAAGGCTTCAACATTTCAACCAGTACCTCTGTTACAGAACCTAACAGAGGCACAGGTTGAGCATGTCCGAGAGCAGTATTTCTCAACCTTTTCTAACCAAATTACTGTCTTGTGTTCCTTCACCACTATGGGTTTCAGTTACCACCAAATCAAGTACAGGTTGCTTATTTATGTAACAGCCATTTGTTTTGCTTGCCTCTTTGTTTGCAAGCAATGCTTGAGGCTTATTAGCAATCTGTTAACAAAATAAAGTTTTCAGACATTTGAAAGCTCATCTTCTGATATGTTACTCATGGTTCATAGGTTGAGAAACACTGTCATCCCACCCTGATTTAAAGACGCTAGGAGCAGGGATGTTCGGATTTTCCTAAGAGTGCAATCAGCAAGCTGAGGTTGAAGCCATTCCAGAAGCTGCAGGCAACCTAGGATCTGGCACTTTGGTGACAGGAAATGAATGCAGATGCAACTTTCCCTTTCTTCAGCAAATGCCTAACCTGCCAAAAAAATGGAAAGTTCATAGTGTACCTTCTGAAACTGCATGCAGACACCCCAGTGCATGCATATATGTACTTACATAAGTTTATACGTGTGACTAAATACACATATAAGCACATCAGAGACTGCAATGAGCTCCAGGAGCCTTTTCATACCTGTAGGCATGAAATCCAATCATACCTTGAGCTTTGCTACCACTGTGGAAGAAATACCCATTGACACCTCCCCTGATGTATTTGGACTGCCAGCTAATGCCTGCTTTGTGCACCTCCATTACAGAGTTACTGCAGTGGGGATCCCCCAAACCTACACCATGCAAGGTCAGACCCATCTCATGAGTTGCCCTCGCTGTTCCCCTAGTAAGGACAAACAGCTGTGGAGTGCACAGATGTGTTTGGAAGCAGCAGCAGCAATGTGGATTATGTACCTGATCTCCAGCTTTTCCAGAAGGAGCCATGTGGATTGGCTGATCGTTGTCTAGATTTCGGATGCTTGGGTCTGCCCCGTGGTCAAGGAGCAACTGGACAATTTCTTTCTGGTTCTTGTCATGAGGCAATGCGGCTGCCATGTGCAGAGCTGTGTTGCCATGGGCCTAATGTAAGAGAAGAGAAAGAAAAACAAGGGGAGAAAAAAAGCTGTGCCACCTACTCAGAATTGTCCTAGGAAAGAAGACTTGTGAGATGAGAGGTGAAGAAGCCTCACATTACTTACTGGGAAGTGAGAGTGTCCCTGCTCTGTCTCTCCCATGTACAGCAGCTCGTGCAGGTGATTTGTGGATTTAGATTTTTGCCTCTCATAGATCACTACAAACTGGGGGCCTTTGATGCTTTGGCTACAGCTAACAAATAGACCTGTATCATGCATATTTATCCAGGAGAAACAATAGGAACTATTTCACTGGGAAGCATTTCAGCCAGTCAATGTGACACAAACCACATTATGCAGTGTTACCCATTCCACATGTGCTATGCAAGGATTTAAAACAGCGGACCCATTTGTGCTTCACACAGCTCCACTACTCCTTTTTACAATCGTTTGCAAGTGCCAGAAAGTTGCAAAGAGATCTTGACACAAGTGAAAGCCAGTCCCAGTAGTGTATAGGTTATACACAGGGCTCAGACTGATCTCTTGGATACAAAGCATCTTTGACTGAGCAAGTCCTCCCATCCCACCAAACTCATGGCATTAAAAAGTGCTGCTTTGAAAGGTACCAGGCCATCCTGGTAATGCAGCAGCCCATGTCCCTCAGTGACTTTGGACATGGCCCAAACAGGGATGTAGGTGGCTTGGCTCTGCAGCAGGCGAAATAAATCATGCTGGGCTCCAAACCTTCTCCTGGCTCCTGACAGTCACTGAGTTTTCAGGAACAGGATTTGCACAGAAACGAAGGACAAAATTTGTCGTGCAGCCACAAGAGGGCGCAGGACGGAGGATGCAGCGATTTGAGGCAGAGAAACTGTGGCATCACCAGACCGTGTAGAAATCTGTGCCCCTGCCTAGTCAGGTATGACTGGTAACGGTTTTAAATGAGAAAGACCTAATAAGTAAATGCATAAGGCAAGGTATTTTTAGTCGGCAAGAAGTCTCATTTAGGCAGCTGTATACTTTTTTCCTCTCAGAAACAATCATGTACTTGTCATGAACATGGAATGGTTGGGCACCAATTGCAATGTGTATTGCTATTCCGATTGTTAAAGGAATACATATGATTTTCAGGTCCTACTTACCACTGAGACATAAGGAAAACTGAAGCACAAAACAAAATAGAAAAATCTTAGCAGTCGTTCTCAAACAAGGCATTTGTTTTTTACAAGCCCCGAACAAGCAGAGCCTTGTCAATTTTATCATCCCATAGAGTTAAGGGATGGTTACAAGTTCTTTATAGGCCTTCTTGTTAAAATGGAAACATCTACACTTGTTTGCTGTGCCTTTGTGGGAGGAGTACTTGATAACTTCCAAATCCAGGCACGGGGCTAAGAAAACAAGGCAGTTTGGCAATGTCTTGACTTTTATAAGGCTTGTGCGAGACAATGGTCCAGAGCATCAGTATACGGGCTCTAGGAATCTTTCACGGTAAAAATACCTCAAAGGCCTCAATGCTTTTCTTGTGAAATCCGCAAGGAAATGGATTTGGAATGAAACACCACATCAAGCAGTAAGTGAACCCAGGGGAACCAGAACATGACCACCAGCATCCCTGTTTTCTTGTCATCTTCATATTTGGAAGAGCTAAAAAGCCAGGATGGGCATCAGACAACCTCGCCATCATATTTCTCACAGACAGCTCACCAACAAGACTGAAGACTTTAAGTGATCTTATCACAGTAGGAAGCTCTCACAGGATTGTGATCAGAAGACAACAGCAGACTCCCGTGGACAAGCTAGCACCTGCCTAATAGTTCTTAAAAGATACAGAAAGATTGTAGTGAAAAGACAGCATAAGGGTCTTCACTATACAGAAAAAAAGAAACCCAGTGTTATTACCCACAAACACAGAGAAAACATGTTTCTACCAATCCAGCAGAGATCTGTAAGGGAAAAAATTGTGAAGCTGCCCAGTACCTGCTTCCCAAGTGAGCAACTGAGTTGACAGAAAACATTAAATCCCTCTCTGATGGATACAAGCATATGGATGCTCTATGGAGTACAAGCAAGGCTAAGAGACTGAAGCTGTTGAAATGAAAAGCTAATGCTCTGACCCTCTCAAAACAGGGATCCTTAGCCCTCTCCTCCCCTCAGTCCTTTCCTCCTACAGAAGCACCCAGAATCATGCACTTATTCCTGCTGAGAGGGGACAGCTAGTTAAGAGGCGAAGCTCAGGCAGATTGTACAGAGCTATGTCTCGGCTAAGGCACAGGAATGTCAGGATTTTTGCTTAGGAGGATGGGTGAAGCTGATACATCTGCAAGATAGTGATACTGCTTGGTATCTGCTCAGAGGTGAAGTATGGGGCAGCAAGGGGATGGGTGACAAGAGCAGCACTGGGAAGGCTTTTAGCTTACTTTATACAACCTGGGAATGGCTGGGCCTCCAGAAACCCTGCACTGAGGAACCAATGTTAGTAAAACTTCAGCTCAATAAGCAGCATTGAAAACAAGGTCTCAAGCCCTACAGTTAGATCTACTTGCTACAGCGCTTAGGCTTCTGCATACTTGGCAAAGATGCTCTCTTGTTTCCAAGAGCTGGTTTCCCCATGCTTCACCTGCATGGCAATGTCAGCCACTGTTTCACTGCCCCTAGCATGTGTCTGTCTTTTGTTAGTGCTCCTGGCAGCTGTTAGGGCTTGGCGGGCCCTGTGAATGTTTTGGCTCTCCAGGCTCAAACTTGCAGGCAGCCATCATAATAACCAGTTTGCGTCCAGGCACAAGCAGAGCCAGAAGACTTAACGAATAACATTTAAGGCAGAAAGAGCCACCATGTCCCTTAACTGAAATAGGAGCTTTGTCCTTCCTGTGAATGGCATGCTTGACAGGAGAGATTACTTGTTACATGGCTGCCCTAAACTGCTGTCATTCAGTATTACGTTGCTGCCAACACCAAACCATTGCATCACTGCAGATCTGTTTTCTCAATCTTCAGCCTAATGCGATAAAGTTCAACCAAGAGCAACCACTTCCCACATTTTTCCTTTTCCCTGGTTATCTCACTCTTTCACTGTTAGCTTCTGCCTCCTGGAAGACGGATCTGCACACAACTCTCAGTTCAAGCAAGGTGCTGTTTTCCAGGTGAAACGTTTCTCTACTGGAAAATGCAGTTTCAGGTTAAAAAAAGAAATATAAAAAAAAATCTCAGATTCAGAAACTGCTGCTCTTTCCCTCCAGAAAAAAAACATCTGTGGAAAGAGAACAACAGATCTCCTAATGCCTCTGTCAGCATCAGCCTTGCATCGCAGCACAGCTCTCGCACTGCGCTCAGCATCTCCTCTGCCCGTTGATGTGCACACAAATCCTGTCCACACACAGCCTGACTCACCTTGTTGTTGACAAAGTCCTTGGATTTGAAAGCATTCAACTCCAAGAAGTATCTGAGCAGTGAGAGGTTCCCATCCTGCACTGTATAATGAAGAACTGTCTTGTTGCTTTTGACATCCTATATAAAACCAGAAAACAACAACGAAAAGTTCTGCAGAGCAACCTGAAGATACTACATAAATCAGAGAAAAGCCCAGGCAAGCTCTGCAGCTCACATGGAGCACCTTCTTCCCTTCAGTGGCCCTCAAACTGTCCAGTTTCTGCTTCAAGCTGCAATAAAGGAACTCCAAAAGGCAGCAACTAACTCTGCAACCAGTCACTTTTAAGTGGAACAGGCTTGGTTGTGCAGTCAGCAGTTTATTCCTACTCCAGTTCTATAGTCTGAGCATAACACAAGTGTCAGGCATGACAAGGGGGAGCTCCCACAGAAATAAACAGCATATAATTGAGCTGATTCCTTACCCTGCTGTAGATGGAGGCTCCTGTTTGCACTAGGAGCTGGATACAGGACTCCAGCTCTTCACTCTGGTGCTGAAGCATTTTCTGCTGTTCCTCAGGCAACATGGGGCAAGCCTGTTCTCGGAGCAGGGAATTGTGGGCCAGAACAGCACAGTGGAGTGGAGTGTGCCCTGGAAAATAAAGTATGGGAGACGATAAGAACGATCCCAACGACACTATTGATGTACAGACAGGAAGAGAACGCTGGGTGGGAAAGGTATGCATCTCTGCGCATCTGCTGCTAAAGTACAAGCCCTTCTCCGGTTTAAAAAGCACATGTTGGCTGTATAGACACTTTCTGGGGCTCTTCATAGTGTGCTCAGTTCCAATTGTGCATTGAATCACTGCTGAATCATCAGCACCATTGATTTCTGTGGTACTTGAGCACACAGCAAAACCTTACCCAGTCAGTTTCTGAGGCTACTCTGGTCTCCTAGCACACCACCAACTACAACTGAGCATCAGTCAACAAAATAGGTGGTGTTTATTTTTATTTAATACTATCATAAAATATTTGTACAAAGGTTTTTACCTTCAAAATCCTTCATTTCTAAATCAAGAGGGAAACCTATTGACAGTATAACCTAGAAGCAAGAGAGAATTGGAAAATTTTAGTTCAGCAGAATATTGTCCAAGCCAAAACCAGTCAAAACAAACAAAATCCAAAAACAAAAAGTCAGACAACTAACATTTATCTACAAACTAAGTCCTTATTTGACACTAGATTTCAGTGCTTTGAATCTGTTTCCTAACAGGAACATTCAGGGTTACACAAGATGCTCATGGTCCCTAGTTTCCTAAACCCCACTTAAGCATAACATCCCATTAAATTCTCAGTTCAGAACAATAAAATCATTATCCCAGCTCACATGTGCTAGCCTCCTTGCTTCCACCCTATATTAAGCAAAGGCACCAATAACACCAATTCATATTTATTCTGAGTCATCCTTGACATGGATAAATGAAAAACTCTCCTTGACATGTACAGCCAATCTTTTAGATAAGGGAGTTCACTGATTTTGGAAATTACCAGACTGAATGTATTTACTTTTTCTTTTTAATGTGCAGCAGGTGAGCAGAAGTGTGACAGGTTAAAACCACAGCTTGCTGCAATGGCTGCAGCAATGATGATGCAAACCCTATAAATGCCATGAAATAGTGGTCTAATGGTGAGCATTGGCTGGATTTAGGAGAGTAGAATTTTTAACTCTTTAACTTAAGAAAATAATAGCTTAGATGTGAGACAGCCAAGCAGCTCCTTGTATATGTTATTAGAGATAATGCATGTTTTAGTCTTGATTAAGTAAAGTTGTTCACGTTATAGCATCTTGGCTGAGAAGTTTTGCAGTGCAGTGACTCACCCAGAACCTTGCGGAGTCAAACAAGGCACAGGACATAGTCTTTCTACTGAAAGATTACCCAGAATGGTTAGGGCTTGTGCTCCCTTTTCATAACAATAATATAGTATATACAGATCAAATATTGACAAGTAGTTCTGAGCTGCTTGATGATTAGAGATTAGATGCTTAATCCACTAGGAAAAACCCCAATTAAATAAACAAACAAACCATAAAGCATTCCATGGCTTTGACCACACCGAGGAGCAAGCCTCTGTGCATTTTCTTTTGTACTCCTTACATGAGTAAGGAAAAAAGCCACAGACAAAGCACAAACCACCACAGGGCACTCTGGGAGCTTTGGTTGGAATCATCTGGATGTAAAGCCCTTTCCCCACTGTATGAAACACCTGCTTTCTGAGGAAGTCCCAATATTATACATTAACTGCCTGCTCATGACTTAACCCAGGGCGTGCAGGAGGCAGAGCTAATGAGTACTGAAGATGGACTGCCAACTTGCCAAGTACCCCCTGGCACTTCCCCTCGCACATCCTCAGAGGACCCATGAGCAGATGCAGACCTATGATCTGCAGAATTTATATGCCCCCCCCCCCCCAGATACACTAAAGCCATTTCCTCTGTAACAGGAAGCTGATTTAGCTGCAAGTCTTGAAACAGGAATAACCTGGGAAGTCGATTCCTAGCACCATGGAAAAGGAGACTTTGGTCAGCCTTTATTGCTTACTGCTATCTTGCTTTCTGAGGAAATTATTGAAAGACATCAATATTGATACTTTATTGTAGGTTCATATTGCTAGCAATTAAAGCATAAAACCTTTTCCTACCTGAAGAACTTGGGCATAGCCATATGTTGCAGCAAGATGTAAAGCTGACTGCCCTTTGTTGTCTACAGCATTGACATCCGCTCCTGCCTGGATTAAATCATAGACAATAGCTGGCTGCCTGGCAGTGACAGCCACCAGTAGAGGAGTCTGGAAAAAGTAGCACAGTAGATAAAATGTGAGTCTAGAGGCAGATGCTATCAGAAAACAAGGAAAAGGGAAGGCCAGTCTGGGCTGAATGTTATCTAGAAACGCAACAACTGCGGTGCATGAACCAAAGACAAATTTTGAATCCCACACATTAGGACCCACGGTGTCATGAGATGAGGGGTATTTTCCAGGTCTCTAGAGTGTTCTTTGGCCATAATATGGATGACAACCCAAGTTTAGCATTTTTGAAACACCATTTAAAGGCACTGAAGCCAGTATTATCAGTGCCCAAGGCTTCCTTTGCAGTAACACAGAGACTGATAGATTTTTCAGAGCATCAATTGCTCTCAGTCATGCAAAGCCCATGCCCACCCCAAACACGGCTGTTTGCAGGAGAAAGTGTTCCATATTACCTTTCCTCTGTGTTCCTTGACATCAAGTCTTCGCAGCAATTTCATGCGCTCTGCAGCTGCCAATGTATACGCCCTCATACCTTTAGCTGCATAAATATGTAGAATTCTAAGATAGTAAATAAAGACACCGATCACTGCTTGGTCATGAACCACTCTGGGAGCAAAGAGTTTTTCAGAGTAGCATAGCTACTTTGGGGGTTTTATACCCAGTGTTCCACAAAACCATACTATAAGCCCCAAAGGTCTTGATCTTGACAGCACCTGTTCCCATGCAAAATGCTTCCTACCTCAAAATAACTGCAGTGTTCAAGAGCCCTCAGCACTCCTGAGCTTTGTCATGCTGTCTCCTTTCCACTTCAGCACTTTCTTTCAGCTGAGATTTGCTGTTGTGTTGGGAGGTAACCACATCCTCCACAAAGCCTAGTGTTGGGGCCCAGCATACCATATTCTACATATGTATGTATTGCTTGTTGGGGTGGTACAGCCTTGTATGCATTAGTGATAATTTACCATCTAGGGTAGCAAACAGCCTCTTCTAAATGGTGTATTTGTAAACAGCCTGTTAAGCTCCACTTCTTTATCAAAAGTACTGGAAAGAGGGACTCTTTCCTTATCATGTGCATAGGATAAGGAGTTGTTATTACACATGGCAGTTAATGGGCTTGCTGCTGACATGGCCCTTAGTGATGGGAAACACACTTCACTGCTTCACTTTGATTGTCTGGCTCTGTGGCTGAAGCTGGAGAGAATTACACATAGCCACTTAACACTTCCATTCCCCCAGATCCTAATTGTGTGAACAGGCACTTCCCATCCTACAGGCAGTTGTGCCAATCCCTGGGTTTCTTTCACTCCAGCAACATTTGGTACACTTCATTCAGAAAGTGGTGGGGCAGTTGCTCCTTTCCTCAGGCTGTTTTGGACTCCAGAGTCACACCTTGCAATTTCAGGAAGTAGATATGCAACTTCATGGCTAGTCTGATTTTCAGTCAAGCTGACCATTAGCTGTGGCTGCCCACCCAAACATCCCCAGATATGCTAAGAGAGGATAATAGTGATTGAAATAACATCTGTACTGAAGGAATGCTTCTGTGAGTAAAGAACACTTGAGTAAAGGGCACCTCCAGGCCATGTTTGGATCACGGATCTCCTACTTCATCTGCCTTAATGTGCAAAATTAACAGAAAGTCTAACAGCTAATCAGTGGTTCTAGCCTCTACATCTGCTATTGAGCCTAACTGATTGCTAAGCCAGTTCTGGGTTACCCTTTTAGATAGGAAATAAAACACTCTAGGCATATGAAAGTTACTGTAGATCTTTATTGAAAAAGATTTTGTCTCTCTAACCAGAACAACCCAGAAAGAAATTCTGAAACAGTTCATCATTGTTTTATATTGACACATAGAATTTACATACATTGGAGTGAAAGAAATTTAAAAGCAATGTTAGCAACCACAGGCTTGATTCACAACTGCATTACCCCAGTTTTACCTACTGAATGTGTTTGCACTTATAAAACTGGAGTAAGCAGTGGTGAACTAAGCTCCTTCTAATTAATTTCTTTGCTGGGTTTTTCTGCAAATGTAAGCCACTAATTTCAATGCACCTGAACTACTGCTATTTTCAAACAACTTTATGATCACTTACATGACCTACTGATTGTATCTTCCAAATTTGCCAATATTAAATAACAAAATACGCTTTCAAAGTCCTCAAGACTTTCAACCTGAGCTTGCAAACCTCACTCAGGCATAAAGTATAAGGTCACTTGACATACAGCCTGGGTGGCAACAGGAGTGCTGGACACCAGGTAATAAAGAATGAAATAAGTTATTTTGCAGTTAGTCTTGCAAATAATAAAATCACCTGAGAATGCTGGGCTTTAGAAAGCAGAAAAACCCAGAGAAATTGTGTTCACCATCAAAGAGACCCTTGTTTATTAAGAAAACAATAAAGAGAGTTAGAAAAGGATATCTCCTGCAAATATATTTGCCTGTGGCATGGCACTCCTGAACACCAGCAATAATATTTACAGTTGCAATAGAGGACAAAGTAAAGCTACTCATCTTGCAGGAAAGAAAATCAGAAAGCTATGAAGAAAATGTGTGTACCTGTGGGCCTGTGATATTACAGGACAGAGAAACGTTCCATAGCAGGAAGGCACAAGAGAAGTTACTAAGGTTCTCTGGCTCAGCATGACATCACTGACTTCGCACTAAATGCTACAGAACGAGTTACACCTTTGTGTGAACTCAAGTGTTTCATCTAGGCTTACTGCTCTGTAAATAGGGATGTCTGACTGCACTGATGTTTAGTTCAGCTGTATTGACTTTCTGTCTTTAAACTAATGCACCTACCAGCACCAGTAGAACAAAACTACATTTTATATTTTTCTATTTTCCAAAGGAACAGTTCAATTTAGGAAAGAAAAATGTCAACTTAGACCCCAAAAATATTTTTCAGTGGCCCAGATCAGGTAGAGGTTCCTCCACAGACAGGAAGGCACACACACATAAGGCGTTTACACTGAGCTCTGAGAAGCAGTCCTACTGAATTAGGTCTTGTTGGTATTTAGAGGTAAGCGTACCTTCAACAAATGCTACAGTTGGCCATGGCTACACTATTCTACTTCCATTTGAGACCATGCCATATGTGTGAGGATGAAAGTGACCTTGTGCTGATGCTGGGCACAAGAATTATACAGTACCAAAAGCCTGCCTGGGAGAGGTAGCAGGAACTGTAACAGCAGAGAAATCTTGTGCTAAGCCTCAGGACAAAGCAAGTTTCACACAACACACAAGTCATGGTGTGCTAAAGGTGGATTCCAAAATCACAAGTAAACTTCCCCCCCCCAAGCCTGCTTTTCCTCTGTACTCAAAATTCACTGTGGTGCCAGGTGGAGTATTGAGTAGGTGAGGATCAGGCCCCAGATGCACAACTTAAAGCCCTTCAACAGAGAGAGCATGGTTTAAAACATACGTATCATTGTCTTCATCTTCTAGAAGTAGCTTCTCAATGGGCAGTGTGCTGATGACTCGTCTGGCATCCTCCAGCTCCTGCGGGGCTGGTTCAGGAATGGAGATGGGCAAGGGCACAAACTGTGGCCCAGAAAGTGTGGAAGAAGCTGTCTGGTACTGCAAAGTGGAGGCTGGCAGTGCAGAGAGGGGCTGAGCCCATGGGAAGTATGTGAGAGGCGGCTGCTGATCCGTCACCTCAAGCTGAGGCACTACAGCGGGGGTGGTACTTCGAGGCTGTTAAAATGGAAGAGAAATAAAACAAAATAGACCCATTGGCAATGAGGAGTAGAGGGAGGACCCAAACCCAGAAACTAAGGATGCTTGGTCTCGCTTTTAACATCCCTTTTCCTGTCTCTCTGGGTGAAGTGCTATATTGAGTGTGAGTTTTCCCACGCTGGCTCCCATGAGAGCAGTGGCTTGTGGGTGTCCCAGGTGCTTGCTGCCAGTAGCTCGCAGTCATGTCAAGTTACCTCTAGCTTTCTGTTCCCACTCCCACCCTCACTGTAAGCCCATGGGACAGTTACACCCAGTGCTGAAAACTGCATACTTTGACAGTCTCTCTCCCAGGTTGAACGCATGCCTGTAGCTTTGCTGCCACAAGGCTGAAGGCAGCTTATTCTGGCTTCTGCAATAGTCTATCCTGACCAGCCCCTGTCAGCCAAGGCAGAGCCATATTTGAAATGATAGCAAAGGCACAGGACACTGGCATTTACCTTGGCTAATTTGGTGTCAGCTGCAACCACTGAACTGAAACACTGAAAGGAAAATAAGCTGCTTGAGTTCTACTGAAACAGAATTTTCTGTCCTTATCCTCTAAGGAAGAGAAAATCATCTTGGGTCAGATTTTGTCCACCCTGAAACCAAATATTCTGCTATGTTGATGTGCTGTTTTGGCCTTGTCTGGAATTAAATAATGATACTGCTTGACACACTGGATACTGCTCAGGACTGTGCCCTAATCCTTGTTCAGACAACAGCATTTATTGACTATAATGTGCATCCACCCAGTGAATCACTTTAATTCTGCTTCCTCAGCTATTCCAAATCCAAGCAGAAGGATAACTCAAGTTGGAAGCGATGACAAGAGTGAATGTAATATTCCCTATTATTATCCTTGAGCTACAAAGTACTCTCCTACTGTAAATAACTGTTAACAGACTTGAACAAACTCAGGGCAATGATAGTCCTGCTACTGACTTGATGAGAGATGACTCATTTCCCAGGACAACAGCAAAGAACAGTGTAGTGTATTAATAACATGGAAAGTCTGGAGGAGTTCAAAGGGCTGGGGAAACAGCAGTGAAGTATGCCCAATTTCATTGCAACCACAACTTTTTCTCCTGTTCAAACCACACTCCTGTCCACAGTGCAGACAGAGCCACTGCTAGAACAACTACGTAGCATGGATGCAAATACACACAACATTATAGTAATTAAATAAATTAACTGGTTACATGTGGCAGTCCCCATGGCTCTCACTAGAAGGTGGGGAACTGCTGTCATTTGTACCTAGGTATTTTAGACTTACTGAAAAATTGGTGATCAACGGTTGAGAAGTGTAAGTCAGAACAGATGAAGGTCCAACCAGCGTGTAACTGGGACACATAGGCTGAACATACATATCTGCTGTGTACGGGCAGCCAACTGCTTCGTGAGGCACATAATCAGGGTAAGTGGTCCATTGAGTTAAAGGCTGTAAGGATGAGGGAGAGGGCTGGGAAATCCAGCCAGAACAGAGTGGTCCTTCATCTGTGACAGGCAATGCGGAGGCAGCAACATCCATATCAGTGCAAGGCTGGCCTAAAAAAAACAGGAGAGGATTAAAACCCGGTTTAGCATAGCCTTCCCTGCAGCAGGGCTGACAAACACTTATAAAGTCAGGGAAACATTACCCATTGGTGAATAGGAAGGAAGAGGCTGGTGGGGCAAAACAACCTAGGAGAGAGAAAAAAATGTTCAGAGATTAAGACCATAAACATTAATTCAATCCCCTCTGAGAAGCACTGAGTGACAAAGCATATTAGCTATTACCAGACGATTATCAGCTACTACTTCAGTGTCAGTGCCTGAATACCTCCCTCTATAGAATTTAAACCTTGTGTTGCAGAGGGAATTCCTCTTCAGAGAGGGGGCAGTCAACCTCCTTCCTCCTGATAGACAGATAGAGGCAGGCTGAAACTAAGAAACAGCCAAGGATGGCTCTGGCTTGCCTCTTTTCGTGCTCTTGAACAAGCTGCTTCTAAGCCACTTTCTGTTCTAGGAGTTAGATCCTGCCAAGTGCAAAACACTTTCAGTTTTCCATTAGGTCAATGCTGATCAAAGGTGTTTGGCACCCTAAAGGCACTCCACCTAAAGATACATTTAATAGTATCTCCAGGTAACATGAGGATGCACTGCCTTCAAAATGCTTTAGAGAAGCAAAAATTTCTTTCATTGCCAAAGTATTGCCAGCTCATGGCAGACCTGGTCAATCACTGAGTGTCTGAGAAAGAGCTTTCTGCTTGTGTTTCTTTTTTCTCCTACCGTTGTAGCTGCCGTTGCACTGGCATTATGAACATTTCCCCGTTTCCTTTTCAAAAGCTCCTTCACCGGCTCTTTGACACGGACACCTTGGTAGGGGCGAGGTTGTGGCTGCTGTTCTGGAGCAGAAGCTGAGAACAAAAATACAAATGGAGGTGACTTTTATTATCCTTTCCTGCCATTCCCAGAGGCACTACTCGTCTGTGGGCTGCACTAGTCAAGCTGGCTGGAGTCTGGGTTCATAAACATCTTATTCCTTAACTAATGGTGTCTTTTGGCCCATACATGACATCAGGCAGCATAGGCATTCTCTCTGCCATTGCTGCTTGGATGCTGTGATCACATATATGGATCATGAGGACGACCTAACCCGAAATAAGTAGGCTTGCAGTTCCCTCCAGTCACTAATCTGCAGTGCAGTGATTTATATCCATGAGAAGGACAAATCAGGCTGAGCATATCCAACAGGTGTATAATACAGATGGGTTAGTAGATATCAAGCCTATGACATATGTAATTCCTGGCAGGTAGACAAAAAAAAAAATTAGATAATCAAGAGAAATACATTATATTCTGTACTAGACACAACCTGTCAATACAAACTCAATTAGAAAAACATCCTTATTTGGGAAGCCATGTAACTCATCACTAGACACAACCTGTCAATACAAACCCAATTAGAAAAACATCCTTATTTGGGAAGCCATGTAACTCATCACTAGTTTGACAGGCATACCTCATAGCTTTGAGAACAGGCAGTTACATTTAAATACCATCCTGGACCAGAGTCATGTTTCTGTTCCATAGCTTTGCTCCTCGCCTAGCCAGGGAGTTTATAACTTGGTGAGCTGGGATGTGACACAGCTTCACAAACAATTATATTAACACATCTCAGAGCTTACACCCATAGACTATGATCTGTTTTAAAAAGTAAAGCTTACGACCAGTTAAGCAGGCCTATCATGAAGCCCTGCAACAAGTGAAAATAGAGGAAACACAGTTCTTTATGAGCCAGTATTATCAACCCATATTTTACATTAAGTATTTGGAGGCAATTGACAGCAGAAGGAAACCATAGAATACGAAAGCTGGGGAGGCCCAATTTTTGTAACGCCACTGATAACACTAGTAGCTACCTACCCCTTTTTACTGCACTTTAATTTGTAAATATTCCAATTGATAAGATTCCATTTCTCAAGATCACCACTGGCCTTCGGTTTCATGAAGTACAGGTGGATAACCAGCTCAAATCTTGAAATATTATTCCACTTAGGAAGCATTTATTCAGATCTACATTCTGTGCTTCACATCACAGAACAAGATGAATCATTTTACTTATGTTCATCTCTCACAGTTACATGTGCTTGTATGCACACTGAGATGTTTCTCTAACAGCTTTCTGGGGAGTGAAAAACTGAGACTAAATACAGACATTTTAAGTCAACATCAGTATCTTGATTGGCCATTATAAATACTTTTGGTACCAGACAGCACTGTATTTGTGTGTTGAACTTTTGCCTTTGTTACATTTTATGCATATTGGGAAAATACTCTGTTTTAAAGTAGCAACTGAAGATAAGATGATTTGATTTTTCAGCTTTTGCCTGATCCACATTTGCTTTCTGTGGACATTCTTTGTGGGACTTAAATTGGATTACTTGCATTCTCATGAATCCTGTGGCTTTGGAAATGCAGTTAAAGAGAATCAAGGTCACTTTTATTCTGCATACAAGCATCCATGAGGGCTTTTAATACAGTTGACATTTTGCTTTTTAAATTTAATTTGTATTAATTTATCTGAGTGCAAACAATAGACAGTGCTAAAAAGTGCCATGGTATGAGGTGCACTGAGAATGCTGAGAAGGAGCTAATACTAGACAGGAGGTCTGAAATAAACATGATCACTAAAGTGCTTTATTCATTTTATAAGAGATACATTTACATTTAGAAATTATTTATTTGTACTTTACATTTCAGGGTCAGACGTTGCTGCTGCTCTTTATGCTGTGTGAAACATCAACTTTGCCAAAGCAAATATGAGCTCTGCTATAGACGGCATGAGAAGCAGAACTGTACCTCTTGGGTAGTATCTTATCCCTGAGTCATCACACCAATCTGAAAGGGCCTCCTTGCAGAATTAGGGTGGGGAAGGATAGTAGTTTCTGGCTCCATGTTTGGGGGAAGGGAAAGAAGAAATTTACTGTAAAAGCTGACAAATATACCTATTGAGGGTTTCCGGTGTAAGCAGAGTAACCCCCAAAAAAGAGAAAAAAGAAAAAAACCCCAAAGTCTGCAGAACATATTTCAGTTCCCTCAAGCTGACCTACAGAAATAAAAATAATGCTAGCACAGCTGCTTTTCCACTCTTCAAGTGTACACCAGGTCTGAGCATTACAGACAAACCACAGCAAAAGTGATTTTGTCTTCAGGGTACAATTCCTCACAAAGCAAAAGAAATACGATCATTTAAAAGCAATTTGAGAAAGAAAGACAATTAAAATATCCTCGGTAAAGGAAGTACCTGGAGTTAGTAGTCGCCAACTCCTTATACCAAGGTTGTCTTAATAAGCTATGAAGCCTAGTTTGGTCCAAGTTTCAATTATATGTTTATTTAAATAATGACCTGCAAATGCACCATGGTCTGCATGCCCAAATTCCATTGAAACAAATGAAAGCAACAGGAATACCTGGGCTCCAGTGCTCAAGTACCTGCTATGTTCTGGCTTGTCTCATGCAATTCAAGCACTGTAAACCAGCCATATGCTGTTTCTTAATAGGCACTGGATCTTGATTTGCAACTGAAGTTTGAGCAGTATGAAGCGTCAGAAGTCAAGGAAAAAAGGAAGGAATCTAATCCAGCCAATACGAAACTTTGTCATAGTTTCTACCTGTAAATACATTCTGGATCACTGCAATATTTTTATCAGGTTGCCTTACACATTTATGGTGTGTGTATAGGCTCAGGCTCCTTTCATCAATGTTATCACTTGTGTATTTGTAGAATGTCGACAAAAGCCCAGCACAAACCTTGAAGACCATTGAGTAATCTTTCAAAGCAGCTGGATAACACAACAGCTAATGAAAAGGTACCAGATGCAGCCCCACCAGCTCTAAGTATCAAGTGACAAGAAGAAATCCTATAAAGTTTGATCCCAGACTGCTCTGCAATTCAGCCTGAAAACATCCAGACTACACAGACAAGCTCGAAGGTTGGTAGTTTTAGTGGACCCTGGATGAAGATTTGACAACTCTATTAGTTCTATTGTTAAGGTCAGCACACTCATCTCTCTGCATTGATTATCCCTTTGCCAACTGGTTTGCACCTAGGTAAAAACTATTTTTCCTGCTGAATCCAAGTTGTGCTGAATTTGGCAGGCAGAGCCAATGGCGATCCTGCTGTCTCTTTTGGGGAGCAGCTCCAACCCAGCTCATGGGCTGACAAGAGCTTCAGGAACATACTTCACAAGACCCCTTGGCCAAGGTGAGCAAAATGCTAAGCAGTCCAGTGTGCTGGGTGATAATCCTATAAACCCCGGCCTACAGTTTTCTGTGCTGTGGAGAACCTGAGAGCTGTCCAGAGATTCTCGTGCAACAGTCATCACTATCCCTTTTTTCCATTATATTTTTCATCCTCAGACTTTCTGTCAGTACAGTATCTATATGCAGATACAGTCTTTTTAGATATACTTTCTTTTTAATAACATCCATGAAATGCTGGCCTGAGTAAAAGCATACTTTTACTCAGACAGGGAAAGCATACCAAGGCATTGCAAAGCAATTAAACCAGGCAACTTCAAAATGCGTCTTCCTCTACCTTTTTATTTAACCATTGCTGAAGTTGGAAGGAAGGGTAATGGCAAAACAGCTGTTGGAAGAGTGCAAGTGTTGAAGCGTGACAAGTTTCAGATCACTAAACTTCATGTTAGCACCACTGGCCTTCACACACACATGAACTGCAGATCAGTTGAAACCTTCATCCTTTCAAACAAGTCAGAATCATTTCCCATCAGTCAATTTTCGGTTTGAAATACACTGCTAATCTTTAAGGGTTTGCAGGACTACCTGCCTGCAGCAGCAAATGACACACTTGTCACTGTGTCAGAAGATTTACTGTTTCTTTGCTCACACACTGACATGTGATAAGCTTATCAATTGATCAGTATTTTTCTCTTTTCTTCTTTCACCTCCAGTATAATAAAAAATGGAAAGAAAACACAATCAAAAAGCTTTTCTTATTTGCAGTAACACCAAAAAGCAAGCAGCAACTCTTGAATAGCAAGAAAAAGTTAGATTTCAATGAACAAACTCGTGAGTTTCTGGCTTGGATCCTGAACACCAAGTTACATTAGGCAGCTGCTGACATTTTTATCATACACAGTGAACTCTGGCTAATAAAAGGGAAAAGTGGCTTAGCATTGTATACACGACTTGGATGATTAGCCTCTGATCAAACCTACAATACAATAAGACATCAATGCTCACTTAAAATATTTCAGCATGCTTGTCTGCATTTTATATTGCCTTCAGATACGGAGTCCTCCAACAATATACTTATGTATTTTTTAAGTGTTAAAGCTAGTTATGTTATTTTAGGTCTGTTACTGCTTTGGAAATTAATTGTGTGATCAGATGATCAGTTCCAACATCAGAACTGAGACTGCTGCTTTTGTGAAAAGGATAACATTGGGTAGTACATCATAGATCACAGTGGAAAAGTGTTTTTTATATAATGCAGCTCTTAAGAGCTAGGCAGGCAACCCTTTGTACGAGAACTATTTAATCAGCTGCCCTTGTATTTACATCCAGCCTACCTAACCATTCATAGTAGTTGATCAGCAAGGAAAGTCAAGGAAATCTAAGTCCAATCCTTAGCTCTGCCAGGATCCCTGTACAAAGTTGAGGGAAGGGTCACCCAGTTTGGTAGATCTCCAAAGATATTTGGCTGCCCAAGGAAAAGTGCTTTGATAGAACTGTCAAAGGGACTTTTCAGTGCTTCTAGAAATCCCTGCACAGGAACATCTGCAGTCCTTAGGCAGTTAGATTCCCCTTGAAACCTCAGAACTTTAAAAATCTATACAACCAAGAGGAAAAAACCCACTGTTCTTATTCCTTTTGGCTTTCTTGTGTTTAT